TATTTTCCGCTGATGGCCAAAGAATAAAAAAATTAAATATCTTGAGTTCCACTTCCATAATTGGAGTTGGGCACTACATAATAATGCATCGGTTTATATAGCGCTTTTTTGGACACTCAAAGACGCTTCACATGTCATTAATCTTTCTCTCCAAACACGGTGGTGATAAACTACTACTGTAGCCACAGCTGCCCTGGGGCACACTGACAGAAGCGAGGCAACCAGTATGTGCCATCGGCCCCTCCGACCACCACCAACCATTCACACACACACCAGACTCATTCTAGACAATGTGGGTGAAGTGTCTTGCCTAAGGACACAATAGAAGTTTGGCACATGATTAAAATAGCTTCAGTACTATTTTTGCTTCCTAATGGCTCATAAAACACATTTATAAATACATATGGTGCTGAAATTGTACAAAACTTTATCTTAGCCCTTATAATAACTGGTCCAACGTATATTAATATTTCCTTTTAAATACATGAATGAATGAATGAATGAATGAATGAATACTTTTATTTCGAGCCATGTCAGACAAGAACAAGGAACAACAGCAAAACAACTGAATAGAAAAAAAAAAAAAGAAAAACAATACAAAACAAATAAACAATAAATAATAAATAACAAAAAGTCAGCTCGAAAAGGAGTGGGAAGAAGTTAAGACTTTTAAACTCCCACCCCCTATTAATTATTCTAATTTAATTAACTTAAATTATGGTTGCTATAGCTTAGCTTAGTCAGTGGTGCAGTTATGCAACAGTGACATTCAAGTTAATATGCCCTTGATTTATACAGTATATGTATAATAAGTTTATATTCTTGTTACCTTAATATTTGATATGCCTTTAGGTGTCATAACGTCATCATCATCACCACATATCCATATAATTTTCATGTTTATAATTTTCATTATTGTATCAATTAAATAGGATTATAGAATATTGTATATTTACTATTTAATAAATGTATTACTGATCACTAGTGTTATACGTGAGTTAAATTTGATCATTGGTGCTGATGGGAGCAAGCTTGTATTTAGATGGTGTGTTATTTATAAAGGGTGTCTCTGCGTCCACAGATCGGCCTCTAGAGGGAGCAGCCTCCAGGAAAGGCAGCCTGTGAGCTGCAGAGCTTTGTTACGTGTCCTAATCTGTGCATTAAAAGAGACAGTATGTGGGGGTCCTCTGCCAGAGGGTTCCTCCAGCAGCAGAGCCCCCCTGCCTACCCTGTACTTTGAGATCTGTGAGTTCTGTGAACATGCTCAAATTGTAATCTCTGGCTACCGTCAGCACCAATGCTTCAACCAGGATACATTTATTTCTTTTCCAACAATAGATGATGGATTGATATGTTGATGTAATGACGCCTATAACAAAAATAATAATTTCTATAATAATACAAAAATAGTGACAATCAAAAATAAAAATAAAAAATACCTTAATAACCCCAATAAATGCCCCAATATAGACACATCATATTATTATTATTGTTAGACCGTATTATACAATAATAATTATAATAGAAGAGTATAATAACAGTATAGGACAGTATAGTAATAATAGCACATATAATATATAGTTATATAATAATTATAATAGAGCAGTATAGTAATAGTGGTCATAGTACATATAATATATGATTTGGTTGATGAGATCAATTTACCCTTTCAAATAGTTTAGAATTATAACAATTTAAACCCCCATTCTCACATTCCTGTATGATGAAAATACCATTTTTTTATATGCTGATTTGAACAGATGGATAGTTGGACATTGCTTGAGTTCGACACACAATTTGTTCCAAACTTTCACTCCACACACAGACACACACAAACTTTTTCTGGTGGTTCTCACAGCATGTATTTTGAAGTTCCCGCACCCCCTTAGATTATAACACCCTTCTCTGTGAGTAAAGTGTTTCTGGATATTTGAAGGCAAAACCATTATGTTGGCTTTAAATAAAAGTTGAGCTGTATAAAAATCTACTAGATCAGTGAGTTTGATTATTTTAGACTGCAGAAATAAAGTATGAGTGTGATCTAGATATCCTGCCTTATGAATTGTTCTTATGGCGCGTTTCTGAAGTACAACCAGGGGATGAATTGAGCATTTGTAGTTATTGCCCCAAACCTCTACACAGTATGTTAAATATGGCAAAACTAGTGAACAATATAATAAATGTAATGCTTTATGATTTAGGAAGAATTTTGATTTATTAATGATCGAGATGCTTTTGGAGACTTTGCCTTGTATGTGTTTTATGTGTTGTTTCAAGCTTAATGTGTTGTCAATAGTAACTCCTAAGAATTTAATCTCTGTTACGGTATCTAAAGCCATCCCATCTATATGTATAACCGGGCCTAGGTTGCTTTTATATTTACTAAAAAACATAACCTTTGTTTTGTTTAAGTTTATGGATAATTTGTTAAAGTCCATCCATGTCTTTAGTTTGGCTAATTCCATGTTAATGGTAGACACTAAATTAATATGACTGTCATACGAGTAAAAAACATTGGTGTCATCTGCAAATATAACTAGTTTCAATAACTTGGAGACACTAAATATATCATTGATGTATAAATTGAATAATTTTGGACCCAAAACTGATCCCTGTGGTACCCCGCAGCCAATGTCCAAGTACCCAGAAGTAAACATACCCATTTTCACAAACTGTTTTCTGCTTGTTAAATAGCTTTGGATCCAACTTAAAGCCACGCCCCTGATACCATATCTGCATAATTTTTTTAGTAATATCTCATGATTAATAGTGTCAAACGCTTTTTTTAAATCAATGAAAATTCCAGCTGCATGTTCCTTTCTGTCTACACTGTTGGTTATTTCTTCTACTGCTTCGATTATGGCCATGGATGTTGATCTTGCTGCCCTAAAACCATATTGACTTTCATCAATTAAACTATGTTTATCTATAAATTTCTCTAATCTACTGTTAAAAATTTTCTCGAGGATTTTTGAAAATTGAGGGAGCAAGGCGATCGGTCTATAATTAGTGAAAAGGTGTTTGTTCCCATTTTTGTATATTGGTATAATTTTTGCCAGTTTCATTTTATTAGGAAATTGCCCTGTTTGAAAAGATAGGTTACATATATAAGCTAACGGTGTGACGATTCCATGTATAATTTGTTTAACCAGTCCCATGTCAATATCAAAGCAATCAGATGTACATGGATGTTTTAATGAATAAATGTGGCAGAAGTCAGTGGGAGAACTCAGAGTGGACACAGAGGCAGTATTTCCATAGAGAGGAGGGTCACATGATCAGCTGGTTGACTTTTATACTGAGCTGGAGACTGCAGGAGTCACATGTGTCAGTGAACGCACCATGGCTCTGCTCTGCTCCATCCTCATCTGGACACTGGCCTGCTGCTGCTTCACAGGTTCCACTCTCAGACACACTGAACACAACACACTGTCTTTTCTCTGTCTTTCTTCTGATCAGTGTTTATTGTTTTTACAGGATGCAGCGGTCAGATCACAGTCACTCAGCCTCCAGACCAGATGTTTACTCCAGGATCCACAGTCACTCTCACCTGTGAAACTAACACAAATGTCTTTAATAATGATTACATGCACTAGTATCAGCAGAAGCCTGGTCAAGCTCCAAAGCTCTTTATATACGCTGCAAGTAACCGTGAGTCAGGAACTCCATCTCGGTTCAGTGGCAGTGGGAGCGGCACTCGCTTCTCTTTGACCATCACTGGAGCTCAGGCTGAAGATGCAGCAGTTTATTACTGTCAGAGTTTTCATAATAACCCATGGTTGAACACACAGTGATTTGTGCTCGTACAAAAACCTCCCTCAGAGAGTACTTCAGAGCGAGACCAGAGCAGGAAACAACTGGAGCTGCTCAAGAGGAACACACTTTCAGTCACTTTATCATACAGAACAATCATTAAATAAATTATTTATTTATCTATTTTTATAATGGTACTTTTTTTCATAACATTGTAATAATCGGGCTCTATTTATTCAGACTTGACTCAGATGATTTCCAAAATCCATTAACTCTGTAATAATGATTATCGTATATAAACTACAATCTGTGAACGTCAAATGTTTTCTTATTTTCTGCTGATGACCAAAGAATGCAAAAATGAAATATCTTGAGTTCCACTTTTTCATAATTGGAGTTGGGCATTACAGGCAGTTGTATTGAAAATATTCTAATAAAATTGTTTTTTGTTTTTTTTTATTGCAAATTGTGTATTTCAAAGACCAAGATCACATTGAGCACAAACTATTATCAAACCAAAAGATGAAAAGTTGTCTCAGACTTTGATTATAATGCATCGGTTTATATAGCTCTTTTCTGGACACTCAAAGACGCTTCACATGTCATTATTCTTTCTCTCCAAACACGGTGGTGATAAACTACTACTGTAGCCACAGCTGCCCTGGGGCACACTGACAGAAGCGAGGCAACCATTATGTGCCATCGGCCCCTCCGACCACCACCAACCATTCACACACACACCAGACTCATTCTAGACAATGAGGGTGAAGTGTCTTGCCTAAGGACACAATGGCAGTTTGGCACTTTACAGCCACAGCCGCCCCACTGTGGCACCTGGTGTTCCCAGAGGTTAAGTGTCTTGCCCAAGGACACAGCAACAGCAGACATCAGAGAGAGTCGGTGGAGAAACTCTTGTGGTGGACTCGAACACACGACCTTCAGGTTCAAAGACCAATGCTCTAACAACTGAGCCACTGTCGCTACAGTGATCTTGTTCCAATATAAACAAGATTTATATCGGAATCTTGTTTGAACTATTTATGAATGTTTTATAAACTGAACAATGAATTCCAAGTTTGTAAATGTATGAAATACAGAAACATGACTCAGACTCATGACATGATGCTTTGCTCAGTAGCTTTATTAGCACAAACACAGTCCCATGTGAAGCTTATCCACATGTTTGTTGTGGTCCCTCCTCAGCTCAAACAGGACTGTCCCACACAGTGTCCTCACATGGACTGGTCTCACTGGGAGCAGGACGCTGCCTCCAGGCCCTGAGTGACTGGGCTCTGTCCACTCCGATGGGCCTCACACATCACTGATGCGTCTCTCCAGTGCTCTGTGGACAGCTGCAGGACGCTGATGCGGTCGTAGAGACTGTCCCCCCTCAGGACCCCCGGGCTGTGGGACCCCTCAGTGGAAGCCCCGCCCACTCTCCAGCTCAGCGTCCAATCAGAGGGAAAGCCCCCGCTGGCCACACACAGCAGCGTGACACTGTCCCGGAGCAGCTCCTCTCTGGAGGGGGGCAGGACGGTCAGGGCAGGCCGCTGCACTCCCACTGCACACAGACAGGGGGCAGCACAACTCACTCAGTGTGTTTATGCATCAGAGAACAGTCAGTGCACAAAAGGATCAAGACCAGAGACGTTTTCACCTGTGTCTTTCACTTCCTGTTCACTATGAGTCCAACCAACTGTGAACAACTGCTGCTGCTGTGAAACTATGAGTAATGTCCATTTAGAACACAGCCACATCTGCAAATACTCTACATTCTCTTTGTCTTGTGGTAGAACTCATTAAAGCTGGGGTACCTCACTTTCACTCCTCAAATTATTGAACTAATTCACATTTTCTAACTAGCCCCTCGTTTTCAAAACTTGTTCTATATAGTTTCCACAATTATGTAAGTTGGGCCCCTGTTACTTCTTTAGATCACCTTTTTCAGACAGAAAAGTGAGGACCATCCTGACTCAGCCAATCAGCTCAGCCCAAGTCTTCAAATAGTGACTCACAGGGCAAAAGTATACAAACATGAACATATTTTCTATTAAGATGTAGACAGCAGGTTGTGGTCTGAATTGTTCACAACATTTTACTGAGACTCTTTCTGTTGGGACATAAAAAGATACAATATAGTGACCCATTTTTGTGTATTTAAATGTATTTTGTTCACAGATAATTAAATTCTGCTGAGTGAGCCGTGGGAAAGAACATATAACATATATTTAATACAATTATATTTACAGGCTGATATTCATTGTAATAATTTCACACTGTTTATTTGACTGGTTTTGAGTTTGTCTTTCAGGTCACAGAGAATTCTTGTATTTTATTGAATATACTTCTTTTGCAGCACTTTGGAAACTGTTTATTTTACTCTACAAATACACTTGAATGGAATGGATTTACTTTTACAGCCTTGAGTTCATCAAGCAGTACATTTTTACTACACAAACTTTAGTGTTCAGCGAGTCATCTGTGATATTCTTTAAGCCATAATTTAAGATCTCAAAATCAAAAAGTCATTTAATCCTTGATAGCATTTTGACATATTTGTTTTCTTGAATTAAAATACATATACAATATATTTAATGTTTGCTGCTACTGGAAACCTGAATTTCTTCCATTCAGAAATCTATCCATCTACTTTGACTAAAAAATATATTAATTTTCGACCACCACATGTTTGTAACTAACACTAATCTCATCTAATTGTCAGTCATATGTAATCTAATCATGGAACAAGATACTTCACCAACCGACAAACCAGTCTGAAATACTATTAAAATCCCAGATATGAATGAGTTGTGATAAAGTAGAAGTGAAAAGTACTCACAGTCCACGATGAGCTGTGTTCCTCCTCCAAACGTGTTCCACAGTGATACAAAGTCCTGAAGACGCCGTACAAAAACCTCCTCCACACTCACTCACTCATGTTGTAGTGTTTCTGCTCATTCAGGAAACTTTGGAAAGGATTCAAACAGTAACATCCACATGTTTATATTACTGAACCAGTTATACATGTTATTGATATATATTATTATCTCAAGACATTTAGAATTGTCTTTGCTTTCAAACTACAACCATGAAAGGAGAATATGTTGTGTCATAGAAACTGTCTTAGAGCTGGGTTATTTTCATTCCATTTCCTTTTACATCATTTACCACAATTTAACACATGATTAAAATAGCTTCAGTACTATTTTTGCTTCCTAATGGCTCATAAAACACATTTATAAATACATATGGTGCTGAAATTGTACAAAACTTTATCTTATCCCTTTTAATAACTGGTCCAACGTATATTCATATTTTCTTTTAAATACATGGATGTTTTAATGAATAAATGTGGCAGAAGTTAGTGGGAGAACTCAGAGTGGACACAGAGGCAGTATTTCCATAGAGAGGAGGGTCACATGATCAGCTGGTTGACTTTTATACTGAGCTGGAGACTGCAGGAGTCACATGTGTCAGTGAACGCACCATGGCTCTGCTCTGCTCCATCCTCATCTGGACACTGGCCTGCTGCTGCTTCACAGGTTCCACTCTCAGACACACTGAACACAACACACTGTCTTTTCTCTGTCTTTCTTCTGATCAGTGTTTATTGTTTTAACAGGATGCAGCGGTCAGATCACAGTCACTCAGCCTCCAGACCAGATGTTTACTCCAGGATCCACAGTGACTCTCACCTGTGAAACTAACACAAATGTCTATGATAATGATTTCATGCACTGGTATCAGCAGAAGCCTGGTCAGACTCCAAAGCTCTTTATATACCGTGCAAGTAACCGTTGGTCAGGAACTCCATCTCGGTTCAGTGGCAGTGGGAGCGGCACTCGCTTCTCTTTGACCATCACTGGAGCTCAGGCTGAAGATGCAGCAGTTTATTACTGTCAGAGTTTTCATAATAACCCATGGTTGAACACACAGTGATTTGTGCTCGTACAAAAACCTCCCTCAGAGAGTCCTTCAGAGCGAGACCAGAGCAGGAAACAACTGGAGCTGCTCAAGAGGAACACACTTTCAGTCACTTTATTACACTAAACATTCATTAAATAAATTATTTATTTATCTATTTTTATGATGGTATTTTTTTTCATAACATTGTAATAATCGGGCTCTATTTATTCAGACTAGACTCAGATGATTTCCAAAATCCATTAACTCTGTAATAATGATTATCAAATATAAATTACAATCTGTGAACGTCAAATGTTTTCTTATTTTCTGCTGATGACCAAAGAATGCAAAAATGAAATATCTTGAGTTCCACTTTTTCATAATTGGAGTTGGGCACTACAGGCAGTTGTATTGAAAATATTCTAATAAAATTGTTTTTTGTTTTTTTTTTATTGCAAATTGTGTATTTCAAAGACCAAGATCACATTGAGCACAAACTATTATCAAACCAAAAGATGAAAAGTTGTCTCAGACTTTGATAATAATGCATCGGTTTATATAGCGCTTTTTTGGACACTCAAAGACGCTTCACATGTCATTATTCTTTCTCTCCAAACACGGTGGTGATAAACTACTACTGTAGCCACAGCTGCCCTGGGGCACACTGACAGAAGCGAGGCAACCAGTATGTGCCATCGGCCCCTCCGACCACCACCAACCATTCACACACACACCAGACTCATTCTAGACAATGAGGGTGAAGTGTCTTGCCTAAGGACACAATGGCAGTTTGGCACTTTACAGCCACAGCCGCCCCACTGTGGCACCTGGTGTTCCCAGAGGTTAAGTGTCTTGCCCAAGGACACAGCAACAGCAGACATCAGAGAGAGTCGGTGGAGAAACTCTTGTGGTGGACTCGAACACACGACCTTCAGGCTCAAAGACCAATGCTCTAACAACTGAGCCACTGTCGCCACAGTAATCTTGTTCCAATATGAACAAGATTTATGTCGGAATCTTGTTTGAACTATTTATGAATGTTTTATAAACTGAACAATGAATTCCACGTTTGTAAATGTATGAAATACAGAAACATGACTCAGACTCATGACATGATGCTTTGCTCAGTAGCTTTATTAGCACAAACACAGTCCCATGTGAAGCTTATCCACATGTTTGTTGTGGTCCCTCCTCAGCTCAAACAGGACTGTCCCACACAGTGTCCTCACATGGACTGGTCTCACTGGGAGCAGGACGCTGCCTCCAGGCCCTGAGTGACTGGGCTCTGTCCACTCCGATGGGCCTCACACATCACTGATGCGTCTCTCCAGTGCTCTGTGGACAGCTGCAGGACGCTGATGCGGTTGTAGAGACTGTCCCCCCTCAGGACCCCCGGGCTGTGGGACCCCTCAGTGGAAGCCCCGCCCACTCTCCATAGTGTTTCTGCTCATTCAGGAAACTTTGGAAAGGATTCAAACAGTAACATCCACATGTTTATATTACTGAACCAGTTATACATGTTATTGATATATATTATTATCTCAAGACATTTAGAATTGTCTTTGCTTTCAAACTACAACCATGAAAGGAGAATATGTTGTGTCATAGAAACTGTCTTAGAGCTGGGTTATTTTCATTCCATTTCCTTTTACATCATTTACCACAATTTAACACATGATTAAAATAGCTTCAGTACTATTTTTGCTTCCTAATGACTCATAAAACACATTTATAAATACATATGGTGCTGAAATCGTACAAAATTTTACCTCATCCCTTTTAATAACTGGTCCAACGTATATTCATATTTTCTTTTAAATAAATGGATGTTTTAATGAATAAATGTGGTAGAAGTCAGTGGGAGAACTCAGAGTGGACACAGAGGCAGTATTTCCATAGAGAGGAGGGTCACATGATCAGCTGGTTGACTTTTATACTGAGCTGGAGACTGCAGGAGTCACATGTGTCAGTGAACGCACCATGGCTCTGCTCTGCTCCATCCTCATCTGGACACTGGCCTGCTGCTGCTTCACAGGTTCCACTCTCAGACACACTGAACACAACACACTGTCTTTTCTCTGTCTTTCTTCTGATCAGTGTTTATTGTTTTTACAGGATGCAGCGGTCAGATCACAGTCACTCAGCCTCCAGACCAGATGTTTACTCCAGGATCCACAGTCACTCTCACCTGTGAAACTAACACAAATGTCTATAATAATGATTACATGCACTGGTATCAGCAGAAGCCTGGTCAGACTCCAAAGCTCTTTATATACGCTGCAAGTAACCGTGAGTCAGGAACTCCATCTCGGTTCAGTGGCAGTGGGAGCGGCACTCGCTTCTCTTTGACCATCACTGGAGCTCAGGCTGAAGATGCAGCAGTTTATTACTGTCAGAGTTTTCATAATAACCCATGGTTGAACACACAGTGATTTGTGCTCGTACAAAAACCTCCCTCAGAGAGTCCTTCAGAGCGAGACCAGAGCAGGAAACAACTGGAGCTGCTCAAGAGGAACACACTTTCAGTCACTTTATTACACTAAACATTCATTAAATAAATTATTTATTTATCTATTTTTATGATGGTATTTTTTTTCATAACATTGTAATAATCGGGCTCTATTTATTCAGACTAGACTCAGATGATTTCCAAAATCCATTAACTCTGTAATAATGATTATCAAATATAAATTACAATCTGTGAACGTCAAATGTTTTCTTATTTTCTGCTGATGACCAAAGAATGCAAAAATGAAATATCTTGAGTTCCACTTTTTCATAATTGGAGTTGGGCACTACAGGCAGTTGTATTGAAAATATTCTAATAAAATTGTTTTTTGTTTTTTTTTATTGCAAATTGTGTATTTCAAAGACCAGGATCACATTGAGCACAAACTATTATCAAACCAAAAGATGAAAAGTTGTCTCAGACTTTGATAATAATGCATCGGTTTATATAGCGCTTTTTTGGACACTCAAAGACGCTTCACATGTCATTATTCTTTCTCTCCAAACACGGTGGTGATACTACTTCTGTAGCCACAGCTGCCCTGGGGCACACTGACAGAAGTGAGGCAACCAGTATGTGCCATCGGCCCCTCCGACCACCACCAACCATTCACACACACACCAGACTCATTCTAGACAATGAGGGTGAAGTGTCTTGCCTAAGGACACAATGGCAGTTTGGCACTTTACAGCCACAGCCGCCCCACTGTGGCACCTGGTGTTCCCAGAGGTTAAGTGTCTTGCCCAAGGACACAGCAACAGCAGACATCAGAGAGAGTCGGTGGAGAAACTCTTGTGGTGGACTCGAACACACGACCTTCAGGCTCAAAGACCAATGCTCTAACAACTGAGCCACTGTCGCCACAGTAATCTTGTTCCAATATGAACAAGATTTATGTCGGAATCTTGTTTGAACTATTTATGAATGTTTTATAAACTGAACAATGAATTCCAAGTTTGTAAATGTATGAAATACAGAAACATGACTCAGACTCATGACATGATGCTTTGCTCAGTAGCTTTATTAGCACAAACACAGTCCCATGTGAAGCTTATCCACATGTTTGTTGTGGTCCCTCCTCAGCTCAAACAGGACTGTCCCACACAGTGTCCTCACATGGACTGGTCTCACTGGGAGCAGGACGCTGCCTCCAGGCCCTGAGTGACTGGGCTCTGTCCACTCCGATGGGCCTCACACATCACTGATGCGTCTCTCCAGTGCTCTGTGGACAGCTGCAGGACGCTGATGCGGTTGTAGAGACTGTCCCCCCTCAGGACCCCCGGGCTGTGGGACCCCTCAGTGGAAGCCCCGCCCACTCTCCAGCTCAGCGTCCAATCAGAAGGAAAGCCCCCGCTGGCCACACACAGCAGCGTGACACTGTCCCGGAGCAGCTCCTCTCTGGACGGGGGCAGGACGGTCAGGGCAGGCCGCTGCACTCCCACTGCACACAGACAGGGGGCAGCACAACTCACTCAGTGTGTTTATGCATCAGAGAACAGTCAGTGCACAAAAGGATCAAGACCAGAGACGTTTTCACCTGTGTCTTTCACTTCCTGTTCACTATGAGTCCAACCAACTGTGAACAACTGCTGCTGCTGTGAAACTATGAGTAATGTCCATTTAGAACACAGCCACATCTGCAAATACTCTACATTCTCTTTGTCTTGTGGTAGAACTCATTAAAGCTGGGGTACCTCACTTTCACTCCTCAAATTATTGAACTAATTCACATTTTCTAAATAGCCCCTCGTTTTCAAAACTTGTTCTATATAGTTTCCACAATTATGTAAGTTGGGCCCCTGTCACTTCTTTAGATCACCTTTTTCAGACAGAAAAGTGAGGACCATCCTGACTCAGCCAATCAGCTCAGCCCAAGTCTTCAAATAGTGACTCACAGGGCAAAAGTATACAAACATGAACATATTTTCTATTAAGATGTAGACAGCAGGTTTTGGTCTGAATTGTTCACAACATTTTACTGAGACTCTTTCTGTTGGGACATAAAAAGATACAATATAGTGACCCATTTTTTGTATTTAAATGTATTTTGTTCACAGATAATTAAATTCTGCTGAGTGAGCCGTTTGAAAGAACATGTAACATATATTTAATACAATTATATTTACAGGCTGATATTCAGTGTAATAATTTCACACTGTTTATTTGACTGGTTTTGAGTTTTTCTTTCAGATCACAGAGAATTCTTGTATTTTATTGAATATACTTCTTTTGCATCCCTTTGGAAAATGTTTATTTTACTCTACAAATACATTTGAATGGAATGGATTTACATTTACAGCCTTGAGTTCATCAAGCAGTACATTTTTACTACACAAACTTTAGTGTTCAGCGAGTCATCTGTGATATTCTTTAAGCCATAATTTAAGATCTCAAAATCAAAAAGTCATTTAATCCATTATATTCTGTTTACATATTTGTTTTCTTGAATTAAAATACATATACAATATATTTAATTTTTGCTGCTACTGGAAACCTGAATTTCTTCCATTCAGAAATCTATCCATCTACTTTGACTAAAAAATATATTAATTTTCGACCATCACATGTTTGTAACTAACACTAATCTCATCTAATTGTCAGTCATATGTAATCTAATCATGGAACAAGATACTTCACCAACCGACAAACCAGTCTGAAATACTATTAAAATCCCAGATATGAATGAGTTGTGATAAAGTAGAAGTGAAAAGTACTCACAGTCCACGATGAGCTGTGTTCCTCCTCCAAACGTGTTCCACAGTGATACAAAGTCCTGAAGACGCCGTACAAAAACCTCCTCCACACTCACTCACTCATGTTGTAGTGTTTCTGCTCATTCAGGAAACTTTGAAAAGGATTCAAACAGTAACATCCACATGTTTATATTACTGAACCAGTTATACATGTTATTGATATATATTATTATCTCAAGACATTTAGAATTGTCTTTGCTTTAAAACTACAACCATGAAAGGAGAATATGTTGTGTCATAGAAACTGTCTTAGAGCTGGGTTATTTTCATTCCATTTCCTCTTACATCATTTACCACAATTTAACACATGATTAAAATAGCTTCAGTACTATTTTTGCTTCCTAATGGCTCAAAAAAACACATTTATAAATACATATGGTGCTGAAATTGTACAAAACTTTATCTTATCCCTTTTAATAACTGGTCCAACGTATATTCATGTTTTCTTTTAAATACATGGATGTTTTAATGAATAAATGTGGCAGAAGTCAGTGGGAGAACTCAGAGTGGACACAGAGGCAGTATTTCCATAGAGAGGAGGGTCACATGATCAGCTGGTTGACTTTTATACTGAGCTGGAGACTGCAGGAGTCACATGTGTCAGTGAACGCACCATGGCTCTGCTCTGCTCCATCCTCATCTGGACACTGGCCTGCTGCTGCTTCACAGGTTCCACTCTCAGACACACTGAACACAACACACTGTCTTTTCTCTGTCTTTCTTCTGATCAGTGTTTATTGTTTTTACAGGATGCAGCGGTCAGATCACAGTCACTCAGCCTCCAGACCAGATGTTTACTCCAGGATCCACAGTCACTCTCACCTGTGAAACTAACACAAATGTCTATAATAATGAATACATGCACTGGTATCAGCAGAAGCCTGGTCAGACTCCAAAGCTCTTTATATACGTTGCAAGTAACCGTTGGTCAGGAACTCCATCTCGGTTCAGTGGCAGTGGGAGCGGCACTCGCTTCTCTTTGATCATCACTGGAGCTCAGGCTGAAGATGCAGCAGTTTATTACTGTCAGAGTTTTCATAATAACCCATGGTTGAACACACAGTGATTTGTGCTCGTACAAAAACCTCCCTCAGAGAGTCCTTCAGAGCGAGACCAGAGCAGGAAACAACTGGAGCTGCTCAAGAGGAACACACTTTCAGTCACTTTATTACACAGAACAATCATTAAATATTTTCTAGTTATTTATGTAGCTATGTATTATAATGTTGGTCTTTTTGTGTTTGTTAAAATTATTCTGGTTCTATTTATTCAGATTTGACCCCAAATAAAAGTCAAGCTCACAACTAACTCCAATTGTTGCACCAGTTGTTCTGGAAATATGGTGGAAAAGATTTTGTCTTTGGTTCATTTGAAAGTGCTCTGTGATGTCAGTCCTGAGTACAAATAGTAAGTAAGTTATCTCTAGTTTTATTGATCGTTGCTAAATGTTTAATAGTTCCTTCAGATTCACATTCATTTATTTGCCATTTGCAGTAAAACCACAGTGGAATACATTTACAAAAGTCCCCAGTGTGCACAAGACAAGCACAAACATAAAACAACATTAAAAGTACCGGAAAAAAACAATAATACAGTAAACAATTGACACTGTGAAATCGATCGACTAAAACAGTTTCAATTCCAGTGCAAGAACATTAAAGTGCTCTGTTCAAGCTGATAATAGCTTGTGGAAAGACGCTGTTAGCAAAACAAGATGTCCTGCATCTCAGAGAGCGATATCTTCTGCCAGAGGGAAGAAGCTGGAACATGGCTTTCCCAGGGTGGCCAGAAGAGTCATTGACAATCCTAAGAGCGTTGTTTAAAAGTCTGGATTTATAAAGAACCTCCAGAACAGGAAGCTCACAGCCCACGGTCCTCTTTTCAGAGCGGAGCACCTTGTTTAAAGCTCTCTTTTCTTTATCTGTGATGTCACCAAACCACACAGTCACAGAACCAACAAGCAACATTTCAATGGTGCAGCCATAAAAGACGAGCAGAATCTTAGAGTTAGTGGTAAATTCTCTAAGTTTTCGTAGAAAGTAGAGACGCTGACGAGCTTTCTTAACGACCCGGTTAGTGTTTTTGTCCCATTTCAGGTCGTTAGACGGAGTTAAGCCCAGAAACTGTCACTAATCTACAATCTGCACCTGGGAGTTATCAATAACAACAGGCTTGTGAAAACTGTTACTGCTAAAGTTCCTTGAGAGTTTTCAGTTCAGACTGTAATGAAATATCTTTATTATCTTTAGACATTTATATTTGGCAAAAACCCACAAAATCACCGAATAGTGTATTAAAACAACCTTCAAAACTAAATAGCATCCCTTTAAAAGATACAGTCTAAATAATGAGTAGAGCACAGAACGTATTAGTTCATTACTAAGGCTGATATGTTCAACTGCACCAGTAATCCTGTCACTGTTTGAACTATTTATGAATGTTTTATAAACTGAACAATGAATTCCAAGTTTGTAAATGTATGAAATACAGAAACATGACTCAGACTCATGACATGATGCTTTGCTTAGTAGCTTTATTAGCACAAACACAGTCCCATGTGAAGCTTATCCACATGTTTGTTGTGGTCCCTCCTCAGCTCAAACAGGACTGTCCCACACAGTGTCCTCACATGGACTGGTCTCACTGGGAGCAGGACGCTGCCTCCAGGCCCTGAGTGACTGGGCTCTGTCCACTCCGATGGGCCTCACACATCACTGATGCGTCTCTCCAGTGCTCTGTGGACAGCTGCAGGACGCTGATGCGGTCGAAGAGACTGTCCCCCCTCAGGACCCCCGGGCTGTGGGACCCCTCAGTGGATGCCCCGCCCACTCTCCAGCTCAGCGTCCAATCAGAAGGAAAGCCCCCGCTGGCCACACACAGCAGCGTGACACTGTCCCGGAGCAGCTCCTCTCTGGAGGGGGGCAGGACGGTCAGGGCAGGCCGCTGCACTCCCACTGCACACAGACAGGGGGCAGCACAACTCACTCAGTGTGTTTATGCATCAGAGAACAGTCAGTGCACAAAAGGATCAAGACCAGAGACGTTTTCACCTGTGTCTTTCACTTCCTGTTCACTATGAGTCCAACCAACTGTGAACAACTGCTGCTGCTGTGAAACTATGAGTAATGTCCATTTAGAACACAGCCACATCTGCAAATACTCTACATTCTCTTTGTCTTGTGGTAGAACTCATTAAAGCTGGGGTACCTCACTTTCACTCCTCAAACATTTTAGCTAATCACTCACTTTCCAAACTTGTTCTAATTAGTTTCTACATGTATGATTTTTTTGTTTCTGTCACATCTTCATGTCAGATTTTTCAGTCTGAAATGTAAAGATTTTAGGACCATCCTGTCTCAGCCAATCGGCTCAGCCCAAAGCCTCAAATAGTGACTTACAGAGCAAAGAAATGCAAAATATAAATTGTTTTTTACTGAGATGTTGACAGACGGTTGTGGTGTAAATTTTTCACAACATTTTACTTTTAAAGGGAGAGAGGCACGGCCCAGGAGAAGCGTGTTGGGTGATACGTACTGAACGCAGTCTTCGTGGCTTTGGACTGTGGCATCTATTGGTCGCTCGTTGGCGAGGTTAGCAGCGAGTTGCAGAGTTGTTTGGAACTCGCTATAATTGAGGCCAGCGCTGGGGCCCAAGCTCTGGAGTGCCTTTTTGAGGATGCGAACAGTGGCTTCAGCAGCCCCATTTCGGTGAGGTGAATCAGCTGCATGGATTGTCCAATCCCACTTGGTGCCTTTTTTAGCCGATAATTCCTCTACAGCAGTTTTGTTTTGAGCGTCGAGGAAGCTGTATAGATCCTTTAGGACAGGTTTGGCACCGACAAAGTTTGTCCCTGGATCAGACCAAACCCTTCGTGGATGCCCTCTGATTGCAGTGAACCGTTGGTAGGTCAAAAGGAAGCTCTCTGTGGACAATGTGGTGACCAGATCGGCGTGTACTGCCCTACTGGTCATGCAACTGAACACAACACCCCATACTTTTGTGGTGACCCGTTTTTTAATGTCGTCTCTAACGTGGTATGGCCCGAATAGATCCACTGTAGTATATTCGAATGGTGCGGCAGGCCCGGTTCTCTCAGGGGGCAGGTCCCCCATTATCTGCTGACAAAGTTTTGCTTTGGACTTTTTGCAGAAAATACAGCCTCCCACCACTTTTTGGGCAATCCTTCTTCCTCTGATGACCCAAGCACTCCTCCTCATCTTCAACAAGGTTGCAGCCACGCCTTCATCGGCCTCGTTGTGAGCCTCTCTTGCCAAAAGAGTGGACACCCATGCGTTGGGAGGTAGTAGGGGTACTGCTCGGCCGTCTTCCCTGAAGCCGTGGATTCTTCCTCCGCAGACTAGCAGACCTGTTTCAGGTTCTCTATATACCACCAAGCGGTCTGTGGTCGTAGCTGGGAAGGTTACTCCTTCTTGTGCAGCAAGGAAGAGGTCTCGAGGGCATCTCGACGTTCAGAGGCGCTGACGACGCCTTCCGTTGGGATTGCCTCCCACTTTGAGTCCTTTATGGATTTGTTTGGTGTCAGGAATCTTCTGGCAGCCCTCCAAACTAAAGCGATGGTTTTGACCAGACGAGATAGACTGCTGAAACGCTTTACATCCATCAAGCTTTGGATGACTGTACCAGCGGGATGTCTACGGACTGGAACTTCATTTTGGCGCCTTGTTTGGGCTCTGGTAAGGGCTGCCACGAATGATTTCTTTTGCATGGTTGTGATGCTTTCACGAGCAGCGGCAGAAACTTCTTTTGCAGACTTAATTGGCCACTCGCTTTCTGGGTGGTGTAAGAAGTCAGGCCCTTGCTGCCAATCTGAGTAAGAGTCCAGTTCCTTTGGTCCACCTCCACGGGTGATCATGTCCGCTACGTTGAGTTGACCAGGGACCCACCACCAGTTTTGTGGCTGTGTGCTGCTCTGTATTTCTCCGATCCTGTTGGCAAAGAAAGTTTAAAAGCCATAGCTTTCGCGTTGGATAGCTCCAAGGATGGTCTGGCTGTCCACTAAATGTTACCACTGGCTGGCTTTGATCTGGGTATGCTCTTCAAAAAACCTTTTTAGGCGGCTTGCAAACACTGCACCACAGAGCTCAGCTTTTACCGCATCCCCTTTGTGGTCTAGAGGTGTCAGTTTTGCTTTTGACTCCACTAGTCGAGTCCTTATTTGAGTTCCACAGTTCCACCGCAAGTAGAGGACAGCACCATAAGAGTTTTCACTGCCATCCGAGAAAGTGATTGCGATGGGCTCAGTTGACGCATCTGGTGGAGTGAGGGCTCTTGGAAATGTGATTCCACTCAGTTGGACATATTCTTTGAATAAATGTATTGCGTCTTGACGCAGGTCGTCAGATAGAGCCAAATCCCATGTGTCTTTGACAGTGCTGTTTTTGGGCTTTGCCTCTTGGAATGCTCTACGAACTAAGATGGCCCCCTTCTGCTTTGCTGGTGTTGTCAAGCCGATCGGATCATATAACCCAGCAACCTGGCTCAGCAACTCGCGTCTTGTCAATGGGTTTGGTGTCTGTGCCATCACTTCATCCAGTAGAAGACCCATGGTTTGAGTGCAAAACCTCCTGCCTTCAAAATCTGTTCCACGTTTTCTGTTATGGTTTTGAGTCTTTCCTTGCAGTTGTGTGACGTTGGGATGTCATCGACGTAACTGTGTTCTTGCAACACTCTTTGCTTATCTTTCAGGTGGCTGAACTGCGGTAGTTTGGACGTCTCCCTCATTGCCAGTTGCGCAATACAACCTGCTGACTTGTCCCCAATGTTCACACGCGTGATTGCGTATTCTTCCAGCTCCTCGTTCTCTGAGTCACGCCACAAGAACCGGTGTAGATGGACCTCCCGCTCTTCGAGCCAGACTGAGTTGTACATTTTCCTAATGTCTCCAAGAGCGGCGAAGGAGCCTTGTCGGAACTTTAGGAGTACAGCTCGGATTAGGTTGAGGACGTCGGGGCCTTTCATCAACAGATCGTTTAGGCTTTGACCTTTGTATCTTTGACTGCTGTTCCAGACGAGTCTCACTGCCGTGGTAACAGAGTGGGGGTTGGGAGCAATGAGATGACTTATATACCAGACGGGGCCTTTCCAGGTAAGTAGATCGTCTGCAGTCAGATTTTGGCAGCCCGCCGGTCAACCATTTCGTGTACTTGAGCACTGTAGGCCTTCTTCTACTGTGGGTCTTTGGCAAGCTGCCTCTCTGTTCTGGAAAAGGTTGCCTCCACAGCTCGTTTGTTGTTGGGTACTGTGCAGGGGTCCTCCAACCACGGATAACTGGCATGCTGCTTGGGCGCTGAGATCGCTTGTCCCACTCGAACCCACACACAGAAGTGTCCGTGTCCGTCCCTTTTAACCACCCCGGGTGGATGCAGATCACGTAGGTGAGCCGTTCCACCCACCATTTCCCTCCGGTGAGGAGGGGAAGCGGGACTACAACGCAGTTCGCCAGCACAATTTCTGTTGGGACAAAAAAACATAATAATTAAGTAATTTAATCTATGTTATTCATTTTATGTATTTCATTTATGAAATTTTTATGAAATTTGAAGCTCCATATTATTGGTAAAGTACAGCATCTAATCGTCTGCCTTTTTTCTTTCTCTTTCTTGTTCGGTCACCACTTTCAAATTAAATATTACGTATTGGTATACAGAAAGAATACAAATACATGAATGACCGAAAGGGTTTAGGCTGAAGTATAAGCTTATTTCGCCTAATTTCTATTTCTCTGACTCTATCACAATATTACATAATCCATGGATACTCACCAATGAGTCACAGAAATCATATTTATTCTAATCATACAATACATTTCCCAAAGAGTTTTTATTATGAATTTCTATAGGGCTTTTAGTCTAAATGGAACAAGATACTTCACCAACCGACAAACCAGTCTGAAATACTATTAAAATCCCAGATATGAATGAATTGTGATAAAGTAGAAGTGAAAAGTACTCACAGTCCACGATGAGCTGTGTTCCTCCTCCAAACGTGTTCCACAGTGATACAAAGTCCTGAAGACGCCGTACAAAAACCTCCTCCACACTCACTCACTCATGTTGTAGTGTTTCTGCTCATTCAGGAAACTTTGGAAAGGATTCAAACAGTAACATCCACATGTTTATATTACTGAACCAGTTATACATAATATTGATATATATTATTATCTCAAGACATTTAGAATTGTCTTTGCTTTCAAACTACAACCATGAAAGGAGAATATGTTGTGTCATAGAAACTGTCTTAGAGCTGGGTTATTTTCATTCCATTTCCTTTTACATCATTTACCACAATTTAACACATGATTAAAATAGCTTCGGTACTATTTTTGCTTCCTAATGGCTCATAAAACCAATTTATGAATACATATGGTGCTGAAATGTTACAAAACTTTATCTTATCCCTTTTAATAACTGGTCCAACGTATATTCATATTTTCTTTTAAATAAATGGATGTTTTAATGAATAAATGTGGTAGAAGTCAGTGGGAGAACTCAGAGTGGACACAGAGGCAGTATTTCCATAGAGAGGAGGGTCACATGATCAGCTGGTTGACTTTTATACTGAGCTGGAGACTGCAGGAGTCACATGTGTCAGTGAACGCACCATGGCTCTGCTCTGCTCCATCCTCATCTGGACACTGGCCTGCTGCTGCTTCACAGGTTCCACTCTCAGACACACTGAACACAACACACTGTCTTTTCTCTGTCTTTCTTCTGATCAGTGTTTATTGTTTTTACAGGATGCAGCGGTCAGATCACAGTCACTCAGCCTCCAGTCCAGATGTTTACTCCAGGATCCACAGTCACTCTCACCTGTGAAACTAACACAAATGTCTATAATAATGATCGCATGCACTGGTATCAGCAGAAGCCTGGTCAGACTCCAAAGCTCTTTATATACGTTGCAAGTAACCGTTGGTCAGGAACTCCATCTCGGTTCAGTGGCAGTGGGAGCGGCACTCGCTTCTCTTTGACCATCACTGGAGCTCAGGCTGAAGATGCAGCAGTTTATTACTGTCAGAGTTTTCATAATAACCCATGGTTGAACACACAGTGATTTGTGCTCGTACAAAAACCTCCCTCAGAGAGTCCTTCAGAGCGAGACCAGAGCAGGAAACAACTGGAGCTGCTCAAGAGGAACACACTTTCAGTCACTTTATTACACAGAACTATCATTAAATATTTTCTAGTTATTTATGTAGCTATGTATTATAATGTTGGTTTTTTGTGTTTGTTAAAATTATTCTGGTTCTATTTATTCAGATTTGACCCCGAATTAAAGTCAAGCTCACAACTAACTCTGCGACAGTTGGGCACCAGTTGTTCTGGAAATATGGTGGAAAAGATTTTGTCTTTGGTTCATTTGAAAGTGCTCTGTGATGTCAGTCCTGAGTACAAATAGTAAGTAAGTAATCTCTATTTTATTGATCGTTGCCAAATGCTTAATAGTTCCTTCAGATTCACATTCATTTATTTGCCATTTGCAGTAAAACCACAGTGGAATACATTTGCAAAAGTCCCCAGTGTGCACAAGACAAGCACAAACATAAAACAACATTAAAAGTACCGGAAAAAAACAATAATACAGTAAACAATTGACACTGTGAAATAGATCGACTAAAACAGTTTCAATTTCAGTGCAAGAACATTAAAGTGCTCTGTTCAAGCTGATAATAGCTTGTGGAAAGACGCTGTTAGCAAAACAAGATGTCCTGCATCTCAGAGAGCGATATCTTCTGCCAGAGGGAAGAAGCTGGAACATGGCTTTCCCAGGGTGGCCAGAAGAGTCATTGACAATCCTAAGAGCTTTGTTTAAAAGTCTGGATTTATAAAGAACCTCCAGAACAGGAAGCTCACAGCCCACGGTCCTCTTTGCAGAGCGGAGCACCTTTTTAAAGCTCTCTTTTCTTTGTCTGTGATGTCACCAAACCACACAGTCACAGAACCAACAAGCAACATTTCAATGGTGCAGCGATAAAAGACGAGCAGAATCTTAGAGTTAGTGGTAAATTCTATAAGTTTTCGTAGAAAGTAGAGACGCTGACGAGCATTCTTCACGACCCGGTTAGTGTTTTTGTCCCATTTCAGGTCGTTAGGAAGGGGGTTAAGCCCAGAAACTGGCACTCCTCTACAATCTGCATCTGGGAGTTATCAATAACAACAGGCTTGTGAAAACTGTTACTGCTAAAGTTCCTTGAGAGTTTTCAGTTCAGACTCTAATGAAATATCTTTATTATCTTTAGACATTTCTATTTGGCAAAAACCCACAAAATCACAGAATAGTGTATTAAAACAACCTTCAAAACTAAATAGCATCCCTTTAAAAGATACAGTCTAAATAATGAGTAGAGCACAGAACATATTAGTTCATTACTAAGGCCGATATGTTCAACTGCACCAGTAATCCTGTCACTGTTTGAACTATTTATGAATGTTTTATAAACTGAACAATGAATTCCAAGTTTGTAAATGTATGAAATACAGAAACATGACTCAGACTCATGACATGATGCTTTGCTCAGTAGCTTTATTAGCACAAACACAGTCCCATGTGAAGCTTATCCACATGTTTGTTGTGGTCCCTCCTCAGCTCAAACAGGACTGTCCCACACAGTGTCCTCACATGGACTGGTCTCACTGGGAGCAGGACGCTGCCTCCAGGCCCTGAGTGACTGGGCTCTGTCCACTCCGATGGGCCTCACACATCACTGATGCGTCTCTCCAGTGCTCTGTGGACAGCTGCAGGACGCTGATGCGGTTGTAGAGACTGTCCCCTCTCAGGACCCCCGGGCTGTGGGACCCCTCAGTGGAAGCTCCGCCCACTCTCCAGCTCAGCGTCCAATCAGAGGGAAAGCCCCCACTGGCCACACACAGCAGCGTGACACTGTCCCGGAGCAGCTCCTCTCTGGAGGGGGGCAGGACGGTCAGGGCAGGCCGCTGCACTCCCACTGCACACAGACAGGGGGCAGCACAACTCACTCAGTGTGTTTATGCATCAGAGAACAGTCAGTGCACAAAAGGATCAAGACCAGAGACGTTTTCACCTGTGTCTTTCACTTCCTGTTCACTATGAGTCCAACCAACTGTGAACAACTGCTGCTGCTGTGAAACTATGAGTAATGTCCATTTAGAACACAGCCACATCTGCAAATACTCTACATTCTCTTTGTCTTGTGGTAGAACTCATTAAAGCTGGGGTACCTCACTTTCACTCCTCAAATTATTGAACTAATTCACATTTTCTAACTAGCCCCTCGTTTTCAAAACTTGTTCTATATAGTTTCCACAATTATGTAAGTTGGGCCCCTGTCACTTCTTTAGATCACCTTTTTCAGACAGAAAAGTGAGGACCATCCTGACTCAGCCAATCAGCTCAGCCCAAGTCTTCAAATAGTGACTCACAGGGCAAAAGTATACAAACATGAACATATTTTCTATTAAGATGTAGACAGCAGGTTTTGGTCTGAATTGTTCACAACATTTTACTGAGACTCTTTCTGTTGGGACATAAAAAGATACAATATAGTGACCCATTTTTTGTATTTAAATGTATTTTGTTCACAGATAATTAAATTCTGCTGAGTGAGCCGTGGGAAAGAACATGTAACATATATTTAATACAATTATATTTACAGGCTGATATTCATTGTAATAATTTCACACTGTTTATTTGACTGGTTTTGAGTTTGTTGTTCAGATCACAGAGAATTCTTGTATTTTATTGAATATACTTCTTTTGCATCCCTTTGGAAAATGTTTATTTTACTCTACAAATACATTTGAATGGAATGGATTTACATTTACAACCTTGAGTTCATCAAGCAGTACATTTTTACTACACAAACTTTAGTGTTCAGCGAGTCATCTGTGATATTCTTTAAGCCATAATTTAAGATCTCCAAATCAAAAAGTCATTTAATCCTTGATAGCATTTTGACTTATTTGTTTTCTTGAATTAAAATACAATATATTTAATTTTTGCTGCTTCTGGAAACCTGAATTTCTTCCATTCAGAAATCTATCCATCTACTTTGACTAAAAAATATATTAATTTTCGACCACCGCATGTTTGTAACTAACACTAATCTCATCTAATTGTCAGTCATATGTAATCTAATCATGGAACAAGATACTTCACAAACCGACAAACCAGTCTGAAATACTATCAAAATCCCAGATATGAATGAGTTGTGATAAAGTAGAAGTGAAAAGTACTCACAGTCCACGATGAGCTGTGTTCCTCCTCCAAACGTGTTCCACAGTGATACAAAGTCCTGAAGACGCCGTACAAAAACCTCCTCCACACTCACTCACTCATGTTTATTTATTTTTTATTTATTTGTTTATTTGAGCAGACAAGTACTGCTCAAAAGGAGTGGGCCGAAGCAAAAGCTTATTGGTGCCCACCCCCAAAACACTACATAAAAATATACACACTTTACATAGAACAGCAACTATGCAAATGTAAAAAATAAACAAGAAAGAACAGACGATAACAGCAACATTAACGGCAAATAATGGCAACTGTTTAAAGCAACATCACTCTTCAAGGTCAATAAAGATCATAATGACTATAATAAGCAACAAAACGAAGTTGATAAAATAGAAATAAAAACAAAACAAAACAAAACAAAAACAAACACCAATTTATTTTAGCCCGATTGCGCCCCCTAGTGACATATAATTTCCTCCTCTTTATATTTATCGAAAGTCTTTTGTTTGTATTTAAATTTGAACACATTAATGTTTGGACTATGTTTCATCTCCCGCTCCAAATTATTCCACAGTTGAACCCCATTAACTGTGGGGCTGAAACTTTTCAGTGTTGAGCTGTGTTTCTGTATCATCAAGTTCAATTCTTCTCGTAGTTCGTAACAACTAGTTCGCTCTTGAAACCTTTTCTGTATTTGTTTTGGTAAATGTTTATATCTTGCTTTATATATCAACTGTACAGTCTGGAACTCAATAAGATCATAAAACTTCATAATCTTTGAATTTATAAATAACGCGTTTGTATGATCTCGAACACCCACTTTATGAATGATTCGAATGGCTCTTTTTTGCAGCATCACTAACGGTTTGACTGTATTTTTGTAAGTGTTTCCCCAGATCACAGAGCAGTAATTCAGATATGGCAGAATCAGAGAACAGTTTAAAGTACGTAGAGCTTTGAAATGTAAAAACTGCTTTGCTTTTGCTATTACGGAGATACTTTTTGATATTTTAGTGGATATGTATTTAATGTGTTGTTTCCAAGTTAGCCTGTTGTCTATTATAACTCCAAGAAATTTGATTTCTTGCACCTGTTCTAAGACAATACCCTCTATCCGAATCATCTCCTGAGTGTTGGAATTACCTTTGCCAAATATCATGATTTTACTTTTACTTAGATTTAGAGATAACTTGTTTTGTTTGAACCAATAACTTACTTTTTTGAGTTCCAGATTAACAGTTTGAAATAGCTTATGTAAATTATCACCAGTTGCAACAATATTCGTGTCATCGGCAAACAAGATAAATTTCAGTATTTTAGATGTTTTAAAAATGTCATTTATGTGCAGATTAAACAGTTTTGGACCAAGAATGGAACCCTGAGGTAAACCACACACAATTTCTAAACAGCTTGATTGAAAATCACCCAGTTTCACATATTGCTTCCTGTTTTTTAGATAACTGTTGTAGTGTTGTAGTGTTTCTGCTCATTCAGGAAACTTTGGAAAGGATTCAAACAGTAACATCCACATGTTTATATTACTGAACCAGTTATACATGTTATTGATATATATTATTATCTCAAGACATTTAGAATTGTCTTTGCTTTCAAACTACAACCATGAAAGAAGAATATGTTGTGTCATAGAAACTGTCTTAGAGCTGGGTTATTTTCATTCCATTTCCTTTTACATCATTTACCACAATTTAACACAGGATTAAAATAGCTTCAGTAGTATTTTTGCTTCCTAATGGCTCATAAAACACATTTATAAATACAAATGGTGCTGAAATTTTACAAAACTTTACCTAATCTCTTATGATAACTGGTTCAACGTATATTCATATTTCCTTTTAAATAAATGGATGTTTTAATGAATAAATGTGGCAAAAGTCAGTGGGAGGACTCAGAGTGGACACAGAGGCAGTATTTCCATAGAGAGGAGGGTCACATGATCAGCTGGTTGACTTTTATACTGAGCTGGAGACTGCAGGAGTCACATGTGTCAGTGAACGCACCATGGCTCTGCTCTGCTCCATCCTCATCTGGACACTGGCCTGCTGCTGCTTCACAGGTTCCACTCTCAGACACACTGAACACAACACACTGTCTTTTCTCTGTCTTTCTTCTGATCAGTGTTTATTGTTTTTACAGGATGCAGCGGTCAGATCACAGTCACTCAGCCTCCAGACCAGATGTTTACTCCAGGATCCACAGTCACTCTCACCTGTGAAACTAACACAAATGTCTATAATAATGATTACATGCACTGGTATCAGCAGAAGCCTGGTCAGACTCCAAAGCTCTTTATATACCGTGCAAGTAACCGTTGGTCAGAAACTCCATCTCGGTTCAGTGGCAGTGGGAGCGGCACTCGCTTCTCTTTGACCATCACTGGAGCTCAGGCTGAAGATGCAGCAGTTTATTACTGTCAGAGTTTTCATGATAACCCATGGTTGAACACACAGTGATTTGTGCTCGTACAAAAACCTCCCTCAGAGAGTCCTTCAGAGCGAGACCAGAGCAGGAAACAACTGGAGCTGCTCAAGAGGAACACACTTTCAGTCACTTTGTTACACAGAACAATCATCAAATAAAGTATTTATTCATTTATCTATTTATTAAGAGTAGCTCAGTTGGTAGAGCATTGGCCTTTGCGCCTGAAGGTCATGGGTTCGAGCACACCATGGGACCTACTCCAACTGCTCCCACTAATGTCTACTGTAGTTGTGTCCTTAGGCAAGACACTTAACCCCACATTGCCTGATACTCCTGCTGAAACACCATGGCTGTGGCACCACTGATGCAGCAGCCATCGTCCTGTGGACCAACCACCTGCAGAGGATCAACGAGGGCATTGGGTGGCAGCTCTCATTGTCGCCCCCCCACCCAGAAATGGACTAATAAAGGGGTAGAAAATGAATGAATAAATATCTCCATTTTTATGTTGATACGTTTTTTCATAATATTCTTCTGGCTTTATATGTTCACACTTGACTCAGATGATTGTCAAAATCCATCAACTCTGTAAATATCTTGAGTTCCACTTGTTCATAATTGGAGTTATGGGCACTACAGGTAGTTTTATTGAAAATATTGAAAGAAAATAGTGTATTTGTTTTATTGTAAATTGTGTATTTCAAAGACCAGGATCACATTAAGCACAGACTATAATACAAATCAAAAGTGGAATAGTTGTCTCAGACTTTATATTGGAATCTTGTTTGAACTATTTATGAATGTTTTTTAAAACTGAACAATTCTTTCCAAGTTTGTAAATGTATGAAATACAGAAACATGACTCAGACTCATGACATGATGCTTTGCTCAGTAGCTTTATTAGCACAAACACAGTCCCATGTGAAGCTTATCCACATGTTTGTTGTGGTCCCTCCTCAGCTCAAACAGGACTGTCCCACACAGTGTCCTCACATGGACTGGTCTCACTGGGAGCAGGACGCTGCCTCCAGGCCCTGAGTGACTGGGCTCTGTCCACTCCGATGGGCCTCACACATCACTGATGCGTCTCTCCAGTGCTCTGTGGACAGCTGCAGGACGCTGATGCGGTTGTAGAGACTGTCCCCCCTCAGGACCCCCGGGCTGTGGGACCCCTCAGTGGAAGCCCCGCCTACTCTCCAGCTCAGCGTCCAATCAGAAGGAAAGCCCCCGCTGGCCACACACAGCAGCGTGACACTGTCCCGGAGCAGCTCCTCTCTGGAGGGGGGCAGGACGGTCAGGGCAGGCCGCTGCACTCCCACTGCACACAGACAGGAGGCAGCACAACTCACTCAGTGTGTTTATGCATCAGAGAACAGTCAGTGCACAAAAGGATCAAGACCAGAGACGTTTTCACCTGTGTCTTTCACTTCCTGTTCACTATGAGTCCAACCAACTGTGAACAACTGCTGCTGCTGTGAAACTATGAGTAATGTCCATTTAGAACACAGCCACATCTGCAAATACTCTACATTCTCTTTGTCTTGTGGTAGAACTCATTAAAGCTGGGGTACCTCACTTTCACACCTCAAAATATTGAACTAATTCACATATTCGATGTAAGCCTTCTCGGCATCAGAATGGGTCAAATTCAGAGGATTGAATTGCCCTACGGGGATTTATAAAGTGCACCTTACCTTATATTCTAACTAGCCCCTCGTTTTCAAAACTTGTTCTATATAGTTTCCACAATTATGTAAGTTGGGCCCCTGTCACATCTTTAGATCACCTTTTTCAGACAGAAAAGTGAGGACCATCCTGACTCAGCCGATCAGCTCAGCCCAAGTCTTCAAATAGTGACTCACAGGGCAAAAGTACGCAAACATGAACATATTTTCTATTAAGATGTAGACAGCAGGTTGTGGTTTGAAATGTTCACAACATTTTACTAAGACTCTTTCTGTTACATTTTTTTTGTTCACAGATAATTAAATTCTGCTGAGTGAGCCGTGGGAAAGAACATGTAACATAATATAAAATAACATATATTTAATACAAATATATTTACAGGCTGATATTCATTGTAATAATTTAGCACTGTTTATTTAACTGGTTTTGAGTTTGTCTTTCAGATCACAGAGAACTATTGTATTTTATTGTATATACTTATTTTGCAGCACTTTGGAAAATGTTTATTTTACTCTACAAATACATTTGAATGGAATGGATTTACATTTACAACCTTGGGCTCATCAAGCAGTACATTTATACTACACAAACTTTAGTGTTCAGCGAGTCATCTGTGATATTCTTTAAGCCATAATTTAAGATCTCACAATTCCATCAACACAACATCGTATTTTCCTTTTTTCTCCTCTCAGTAAGATAAGCTATCTGTACAGTAATGATTTGTGTTTGTTGGCTATAACCAGCAGAGGGTGCTATATATCCACTAATTTCACCCTCCCAGGCCTTTTTTGTATTCTTATATTTCAAAGCCCTAAATTCAAGCCCTGTTCAAATGAATGGCTTGTGCTCAGTAGCGCATGCAAGCCCCGGCGATCCAAGATGGCGCCCTATTCAAATGAATGGTTGTGCTCAGTGGCGCTTTGTGACGGCATGGGGGCTGAAAGATTAGCGGAAGTTGCCTGAAACTCGCAAAGATCTATGGGAAACTCGCCTGTATTTGGGCATCGTCTGGTCCTCCCGGTTCTGCGCAGTGGATGATCTCCCATAATGCGTTGCGCCAAACACGCGTGTGTGGGTCTCACACCGGGTCTCACGCACGTGCACAGAGGGGCTCGGCCGCGCTCTGACCAATAGCTGAGGTTCACGTGAATTGAGCGCATGGGACATCACGGGCGCTGACATACTAGCGGAACTCGCCTAAATTTGGGCATCGTCTGGTCATCCCGGTTCTGTGCGGTGGACAAGCTCCCATGATGCATTGCGCCAAATACGTGTGTGGCTCTCATGCATGTGCACAGAGGGGCTTGGCCGGGCTCTAACCATAGACTGTATAGATTAACGGACAGAGTCACGCCTATCTCTGCCGTTCTAACTAATGGGCCAAAAAATGTGCTCTACTGGAGCTATCCAAAATGGCCGCAAGTGGTCCCGCCCACAAGAAAATTGTGAAAAAACGCATCTGCGCATGCGTCGGCCGGCGCAACTCCATTCATTTGAACGAGAGACTTCAAAAATTCACAGCAAGTAAACTAGAGTGGACCAAAAAAATTCACCCCCTCAGCATTGGCACACATGTGGAACGGAGCTTTGGGCCAAGAGCCAACTTTTGGACCATCCTGTAAAGATGTTTTCGAGAGGTCTGCCAATGCTACACGTTAGCATTGGCTATTTCTACTTCTGGGTCCACCCCCATCGGCCCTGGATGGTATTGCAATCATGTCAGCGCACGTCATTTTGACTACTTTTGAGCCGGGACCCGCCCCCACTGGCTCTGACTAATCGGAGCTGCTGATCAGAGCAGCAGCAGAGTGGAGCCAGAACGGGAAGGAAAGGAGCAGAGTTTGTGGCTGAAAAGTGTGGATTTAAAGAAAACCAAAGGATTTAAGAAGAAAAAAAGTTCAGGATGACAAGGGAAACTATAATCCCCGCAAAATATGATCTTTATGAAAGCTGTAGGTTTTCTGTCAGCTGAGGTCGAGCTGTTTTAGTTTACATTGAGTTCTATGTGATTTTTTTCTGGGTAGCCCATGTAAATTTTGTTTGCAGTACCACGGGCGCCCCTTGTGCCCATGGATGGAACTACTATAAGCTAGTAATACACTATCCAGTTATTATTATAGATCCATGCATAGCACCTAAAGCCCAGATCTAATCGCGAAGTGGGCCCTGGCTCACTTAAACCGGGCTTTAGGATGTGCATGTGACCGCAGCCTTAGTCTCTCAGCTGGACTGGAATGAGCTGGAGGAGTGTGTGTATATGTGTCATCATTTTTTTGTGACAACCACACATCGTGGATCTACAACGTAAATTATTTGGCCCCCCCACCAATGAGTGAGTTCATCAAACAGAAATCTGTAAGTGGTGCTGCTCGCCTGACTTGAGCGACAGTCAGAGGAGACTGTGATCTCCCACTGAGAAGGACAGCCTTCTCCCAAAATGTCCTGTCAGTCAAGGGTGTAAAGAACTGGAACAGAATACCCACAGCAGTGAGGGACTGCACCGGCCTCCCCACAGTTAAGCATTAGTCAAAACTGTGGCTGAGGGACTCTCAAATATGTGAGCATGTGTGACATAAGTCCTGAATATTAAGCAACACTTAACAGGGAACAGTGCAATAGGGTATAGTGCAGGACAATACATTGTCTCAAGTCCTTCTGTCAATTGTTGTATACTGTCTCACATGTTTGTACGTGTTCAGCTGTCCTTGTACATGTCCGTTTATAGTCTTGTGTACATTGTATTCCTTGCATGATTTGTATTGTTGCGTCTTGTTAGTTTTTATGTTCTTCTGTGACATCAACCTGCAAGGGGATCTGCAGATGGAAATTAGCCTAAGGCTATAATCTGGCATATTTACGTTTGTTAAATGTTCATTAATATGCATTGTACCTCCTTTTAACACCCAAATAAATAAATAAACATGACTGTTTCAACAAAATCATCATACTGCAGCACGCAGGACATTCTCATGTCTTTCCTCTCTTCAATCAATCAATCAATCAACGTTTATTTATAGAGCGCCTTTCCTACACAAGGCAACGCAAAGCGCCTCACAACCCATATAACATCATGCAAAAATCATCAAACATTAGAATTTAAGTAAACATAAAAAGACAGATTAAGAGCACAAGATATATAAAGTTACACAAGTAGTTAAAAACCGTAAAAAATTAAAATCACACAAGGGATTACAATCATAAATAATCATAAATAATCATAGCGCATTAAAAATATTAAAGATAAAAACAAATGTAAAATCATTCACTTGTATGCACAGCTAAAAAAGAACTGTTTTCAGTTCAGTTTTAAAAACTGCTAGAGTAGACGCCTGTCTCACACTCTCGGGAAGACGGTTCCAGACTCTAGCTGCATGAATCTGAAACGCAGCCTCCCCATGTCTAGTTCCGACTCTTGGCACTAACAGAAGTCCAGTCCCTGTGCTCCTCAGAGCCCGAGTTGGTTCATATGGCACCAACATGTCGCGGATGTACCCTGGTGCGAGGCCATGGAGAGACTTGTACACAAGTAAAGCTACTTTAAAATCTATTCTCTGAGCCACAGGAAGCCAGTGCAGAGACCTGAGGACCGGACTAATGTGGTCGTACTTCCTGGTTCTAGTCAGGACTCGAGCTGCAGCATTTTGGATGTACTGCAGCTGTTTTACCGCTTGTTTAGAGAGACCTGTGAACAAGCCATTGCAGTAGTCCAATCGACTGGAGACAAATGCGTGGATAAGAATCTCCAAGTCTGCTTTAGACACAATGTTTTTAATTTTAGCAATGTTTCTTAGGTGGAAGTAAGCTGATGATGTCACAGATGATATGTGGCTATTGAAATTCAAGTCTGAGTCCATTATTACTCCTAGATTTCTGACCTGAGTTGAGGGTTTCAGGGAGAGAGACTGGAGGTGGCAGATAACGCTCTCTCTTTGTTTCTGAGGTCCGAAAACAATAATTTCAGTTTTTTCTGTGTTTAGCTGGAGAAAGTTATTTTGCATCCAATCACTGATCTGTTGGATACAGTGAAGGAGCGAGTCCACTGGTCCATGTTCTCCTGCTGTCAGGGACACATAGACCTGAGTATCGTCAGCGTAATTGTGATAGGACACGTTATTACTGTGTATTAACCTACCCAGAGGCAGCATGTAAATATTAAACAGGAGAGGCCCCAGGATTGAGCCCTGTGGCACTCCGCAGGTCAGGGCCAGATGGTCTGAGACACAGTTTCCGATCTCCACAAAATACTTTCTGTCCTGTAGGTAGGATATAAACCAGCTTAGGGCTGTTCCAGAAACACCAACCCAGTCCTCAAGTCTCTGAATGAGGATACCATGATCGACAGTGTCGAAAGCAGCACTCAAATCTAACAGGATAAGAACTGAGACTTTTCCTGCGTCAGTGTTAAGTCTGATGTCATTTGTTACCTTCACTCTTCTGTTGCACACTCACCCTGCCTGCACTCCTTATTCCATTATATGTACACATGTTCAAAAGTGACCATGGTTTGGGTCAGTGGTTTGCAAGGACTTGGCATTGTCGCTCCTAACCTGATCATGCTTTGACATCTGCTATTATCCCCAATCATCTCATTTGAATAGTTTTTTTTTTTTCAAATATAAGATGTTTTGTGTCATCCTTACATTTGTACAAGACATGACATAAAGACATGAATGTACAGTGATAAATGTATGAGACATGTACTGTAAAAAACAGAAATACAGTCATTTTTAGACACCATTTTCTGATGACCTTCTTTGTTGTGTTGTTTGTTTTTCAACCTCAACACATTTATTCTCAGAGCAAGACCTGGAAGTTGTTCTCACTGTTGGAAGCGGAGAAGTATCACTTTTGACTACTAGTTGTGTCCAAAGGTCTTCGCCCTGTAGGTGTTTCAAAATTAAATGTATGTTTATTTAAGATGAAATAAGATAAGATATTCCTTTATTCGTCCCACAGTGGAGAAATTACAGCATAGAAAGAAGGAAATAAGAGCACTCAGATTGCACACATCAAATAGAATCTATTATTTAAGATAATAGACAATATAGTTAATAAGATGATAATAAGATGGTAAAATAGAATAAAACAACACAAAGCAAACTCTGGCGCTATTGCATGTGGTTTAGAAGTATTTACAGATGTGTATATTGTACTTTAGCAGAATAAACATCAGTAATAATATCAGCAGTAAAGTGACTAGTGAATGGCAGAAGTATCAGATGGGTGGATATGTAATAATGCAGTAATGATAACAGGTAAAGTGACTAAGTTACTGGTGAATTATTATCAGTGACACTCGTGCAGACTCAGCAGTTCTTGTTTTACATTTTGGAGTAATAGTGTATTCCTCCTTGTACAGAAGTTTTCTGTATAATCTTAATTTGGAGCTTCAGCCAACACAAGTTCTTTAGCTTTGGTTTGTTTGGGGTTCATTTCATATTTCGGATTAAACATGCTCATCCCTGGAACACAGCACCCATGTCCCTCCTGAGTGGAAGGATAGCTTAATGACGAAGAAACATCTATGAACAGTTGAGGTGGCAGAATTAGTAAATTGAATGATGAACCAGACTAGTGGAGTCATTTCTCTTCCAGATATATTGACTGATTTCTTCAGTTTTCCTGTGTCGTTGAAAAAATAAAACTGTGCATTTGAAATGTAGTCACAGAGGAAACTGCAGTTAGCTACAGTTATCTTAAATTTATCTTAACTACTCAGAAGACTGGTGCTATGAGACTTGGGTGGCATCTCTGATTGCCACCCCCCTGACCCAGAAATGGATTAAAGGGTAGAAAATTGTTTAAAGTGATTGTCTGGAGTATGTCAGAAAGAGAAACAGAGAGGTACTTGATTTGAAAAAAAAAACGACGCAAGCTCCTCCCCCTTCCTTTCTGATTGGTCTACACCTACGTTTCCGTAACACTTTTAAATGTTAATCAGAGAACACATTATTCATATACATTATTAATACACATGCACGGAGGTTTTCAGAATTATTTGTTAATGTTTTCATGAAAAAAATAATGTGGCAAACCCGGAAGAAGCTATTATCATTAATTATACATTATAGGACACATCTGCAGAGGATCTGATAGGTTCAGTATATAAGTAACTCAGCGCGGATGTTCATAATTCTTTGTTCAGTTTTCATGTAGTTCCAGAGCCTAAGGGAGGCTTGATTCGGGGGCTCCGCAAAAACAAACAACTGAGCATGCGCGCAGCTGCGAGCATCAGTGCCGATGATTGACAGCCCTTGGCATGACTTGATTGGTTAAAGGCGCTATACCCGTTTCTGCAAGGTTCGAATGTTTAGCACCGCCCTCCAACTCGCTCAATGGCTTCTCATTTCCCCTGTGCTCTCATAACACAGAGTAATCGGACAATACAGTATACATATACATCCTTAACACACATGCACGGACGATTTCAGAATTTGCTGTCAACGTTTTCATGACAAAAATACTGTTTGAATGTGACAAAAAGCGATCGCGAAAAACCCGGAAGTTACCATGAAACAGCTAGCTAGCTTAGCTGTTACCTGCCTAGCACGTCCCGGTGAAACCTTTGGGAGCTAACTATTTTATTTGCAGTCATTAAATATATTTCGAATTATAAGGGCTGTCTAATATTTGTTCGAATATGTATTTTTTTTAGAATTATATTCAAATTTTGAAGTCGAAGCCCTGGTGTTTGATATTTTGGTGTTTATTTTTATGGGACTCAAAAAATGCCAGAACAGCGCCACCCACAACAGCCAATGGGAGTTTCAGAGGTCAAGTTTGTCGTAGAGCCATGAAATTCATGTTGTTCCTCAAGTCAAGATACGACCAAAATGTTATCATTGACAAACAGGAAGCCCATAAATTTCACTGGAAAAATGATCCGCAATCATTTTTCATACATGTCGGTTGGAAAGCGACTCCTCCTCGGCCGTTTCACCGATTGGCCTCAAAATCGCTCCACATCATCTCAACACATGTACCTTCAAAATTACATCAGGGATTTTGGATCAGTGAAACGTTGTTTGAGCAGCGGAGCAGCAAAATGTGACTGTTTTATGGCCGTTTTTTACAACATTAATTTTGCTCCAGTTTGCACAAACAAAGTCTGATTTGCAACAAAACTTGAATCCAATGTTCAACTCCAGGGTTTAGGTCAGGTGAAAGTGAAATATTTGAAATTGGCCCATTAGCGCCCCCTACAGATTGATGCAAAGTTTTACATGGGGTGCCAAACACCTCTAATCATCGTATTCATTACAATTTGACCAACGTTCTTCTATGACAACAGCAACAAATTATCACACGGCGGCCCCACCTCCTTTGCGCGGTGCTGTGTGGTACGGTGTGGTGCTGCGTTGTGCGGGGCGTTGTGGAGCGGCGCGTTGCGGCTTGGTGCGGAGCGGCGTGGTGCAGATCCGCTTGGTGCGGGGCGGCTTGGTGCTGGGTGGCTTGGTGCGGGGTGGTGGGCGCGGTGCGGCGAGGGCCGTTCGACACCGCTTGCGGCTTTAATTATATTTGAATTTCGAAGCCGAAGCCCTAGTGTTTAGCAGTGCTGTAGAGGCTAGACGACGCAGCCTGTTCGCTGCTCGTTCTGTGACCCGAGGAGAACGAGCGTCCCGCTCAGACTCTACTCAGCACTTGTCACTGCTTGTAATTCTTACACAGCTGAATCAATTACCTCAAGTTTTCAATTAAATTACGGATTATAATACAACTTGTATGTAGTAATAAGCATTTTTATCAATTACTTAGAAAAGAAATTGGGTATAGCTTCTTTAAGTGTCTTGCCAAGGACACAACGACAGCAAACATCAGTGGGAGTGCAGGTGGAGAAGGGGCCGTGGTGGGCTCTAATCCACAACCTTTAGGCTCAGAGGCCAATGCTCTACCAACTGAGCCACTGTCACTCCAAAAATGTGCTATATACTGTAAATAACATGACTTACCGTCATAGTTTACTGTCTATTTAGGGGCAAATGTTTAGACCACTTTATGAATGAGGAAGTGTAGTATCGATGACCTAGACTGACCAGTGTTGCTGCTTTGTTAAGCCAATTTGTACTTTATAGGCTTAATCCTTTTACTGGGAATCAGTTACCCAACTCACTTCACCTTTCCCTGTCCCTTACTTCACACTGACCAGGCTCAATCTTGTGCTTCTCACTCTCTTGATGAAGACGGGACATTTTTGATGGATCCTTAAATCTATTTACAGACATTTTTGAAATTCAAGAGTTGATTTGTAGATTTTGTAGATTTCTTTGTTGAGTGGATGAGTGCATGAGGGGATAGCTGTTCAAAATGGGTCTTCTGTGGAGTCTCTTCAAGTCCGTCGTGCCTTTGAAAGTAAGAGAATATATCAAAGACTACGGCAAGAGGAACGGCTTGCTGACGCTGTCCGTGTTTGCAGTGGTCACTGGCTGTGTACTGGGATTCTTTCTCCGCTCCCTCAACCTTTCCACTCAGGTGAGATCCAATGCAAAACATGTAGAATAAAGTGTGCATAGCAGGGATTATTCCAGGCAGGAATAGAGTTGAACAAATTGCAATAGTATTTTTTTTAAACATAGATAATAGTAATAGTTGATAAGGTTGCCAAAACAACAGAGCAAAAGTCCAAAGAAATCAGAGTTGGGCAAACAGTTTTATTTCCATCATGATTCTATCAATTCAATCAATCATGTTTTATTCATAGAGCCCTTTATAAAACTTTCGGCGACAAAAGTGCTTTACAATAAAACCACATAAGATCCAATTAAAACATTCATGCAATCAGTTAAAAAGCATAAAAATTGCCATTACGCTAATGAGTCTTAAAAGTGTTAAAAGCTATTCTGAATAAATAAGTTTTGAGTCCCGCATATCAGGTTCAAGGTGAAAACTACACCTGACTAGGCTTATTGTTTTCCTTCAGTCCTATCACTATGAAACTTAACACACTGGACATCCGCAAGAAGCATTTTTTTTCCACTAGTTTTTACATTCATGGATTTTCTTTGGTCACATCTTTAAAGCAGCTTTTTTACAGACAGAAAAGTGAAAAAGAAAGGACCCTCCTCATTCAGCCGATCCTATCTCCGCCCAAAGATTCAAACAGTGTTCTTTCTTACAAGTATGCAAAAGATTACATGCCATTATTATAGCCATGAAAATAAGACAGCATGTTGTGGTCGGGTTTGTTCACAACATTTTGTTCGGGACTAATTGAAAGAAACAAGGATTATGTATGAGAAGAAAGGGGTTTAAAAAGGATTAGGGTATTGATACGTCTGCAGGTGGGCTGTGTCTATTGATGTGTACATGTTGTGCAGCCTATGCCAGTAAGGAAAGTTGGTAAGGAAAGACATTTTATTTGTACTGTATAGCACAATTCATACACAAGGCAACTCAAAAATTCTGAACAAAATAATATTGAAACATGGCATTAAAATGATAAATAATCACAGAACTGTTTTTAACCTGGATTCGAAAAGTGTCAGAGAAGAAGCCTGTCTTACATTTTCAGGAACTGTTTTAGATTTTAGCTGCATGAATCTGAAATACTGCCTCCCCATGTTTAGTTCTGACTCTGGGCCCCAGCAGGAGGCCAGACCCTGTGCTCCTCAGAGTCCGAGTTGGTTCATGTGGCAGGTTAACACTGCCTTTGTATGATTGACAAAGACCTCACGTATTTACATACACAAAATGAAATTGTGTCTGGTATGAACTCCTAACATTCAGTTTTATCTTTCAGGCCAAGATCTACTTCTCTTTTCCTGGAGAGCTGCTCATGAGGATGCTAAAGATGTTAATTCTGCCTCTCATCACCTCAAGGTCAGAATTAGATCCTCAATAATATGTGTATGTGCAATACCTGCTAAAAACTGATGTAACGGTTTGTAGGTTGGGGAATTGTGGTGGTACTAGAGTTATTATTTGGGGTTGTGGTTTTATAGGGGTGCCAGCCAGGTATCCCTCCTGACAAGTGGGATATTGAAGGTTTAGTTTGAACTATTGTCTCCGTCACACAAGGACTTATAATATAGATGTATAAATATAAACCCTTAGTCTTAAAATGTGAATGACAAAAAACCAGAGGAAACACACAGAAAATTAAATAAAGAGTCCCAAGTGTATTTGTACAGTCCAAAAAATCAGTACTACTGTGCAACAAAGTATTTCCCCTCCCAAAGTTCACAAGCTTAGGCAGCTCCCCACATAAGCTGCTCCACAGCACCAGATGTCACGTGTATGATTGAGGCACCTATGTTGATGGAGCAGAGGGTACAGTCTTTTTATATTCAATTACGATGACGCGGGAGGTGCGCTGACGTACCCAGCCGGCACAGGCTTCAGTGTTGGAGCAGGCGGAAGAGCAAAAGGAGCGAGCGTTTTTACGCGTCTCCGTGAATGACATGCAGAGCTTTCCAGCGTTTTAGTAGCGCACAGAACCTTAGAACACGGAGGGATTGTACGACCTCCAGAATTCTGCTTCTATCGAGCACATGCGATCAGTCTCTCCTGCCTCCTTCTCAGTCAAAGCGCGACTGTCATTTTCAAAATGCGGAAGAGGGCCGCTCCACCCGCAGCGCGAGCACTGGGCCAATGAGGTGAGGCTATGACGGGACAGGGCGTATATACATGGCTGGAGCGCACAGTGTACATAAAAGGGGCAGAAACAAAACTTCATAGGGGCAACCCTGGGGTTGTCACACTGATGTTTATATTTATTCTACACTCGTTGTTTATTAGGGGATGTAGTGATTTTAGTGCTTACATAGTCAACTGTCTCTGTACCACAAGCGTTAGAGCTGGGGTACGTAACCTTTCTTTTTCATAAATAACAGAAAGAGCCTTGTAGTAAAATGTTCTGAACAAACCAGACCACTGCATGGGCGGCACTGTGGCTGAGTGGATAGCACTCTCGCCTCTCAGCAAGAAGGTCCTGGGTTCGAATCCCGGTTAGACCAGGGCCTTTCTGAGTGGAGTTTGCATGTTCTCCCCGTGTCTGCGTAGGTTTCCTCCGGGTGCTCCGGTTTCCCCTACCACTAAAAATATGTACAATAGGTCTGTCATGTGCCTCCTGTACTGGCGACCCCACTCCCAAAAATAACAATTGTAAACCGCTTTGAGACTCCGATGTGCAGTGAAAAGGCGGTATATAAATAAAGATTACTACTACTTACTAATACAACATGTAATCTTTTGCATGTATACTCGTAGAGCCATGTGAGTCACTATTTGATTCTGTGGGCTCAGAGCTGATTGGCTGAGTGAGGGTGGTTCTTTTTTCACATTCCTCTCCGAAAATTATACAGAAATACATGCCTGTGAAAATGTTTTACAGAATTCTTTTAAGAGTGCTGAACTAGTTAGATTTGTTTGATTTGTTTACATATGCATTGAGGATTGTGGATTTGAAATCAGGTACCCCAGTCTATGAGAGGCTATTAGGCAGATGGGGTGGCTGCACCTTTGTAGCATAAATATGTCATTTAGTAATTTAGTGTTTTTAACAAGGTTATAGCGATTACCATAGAAACAATATGTTTGTTACAATTGGAGAACAATTATGCGCGACTTGGAATCTTTTGGACTTTAAACAGCTTTGGGCCAGATTTAAATCTGTCCAAAGGCTGTGAGGCTGAAATTCTATTGTACTCAACAATAGCCAATGATGACGTACATTCAGTCCATGATTGTACACAGCACCTTCACTAAAATATTTGGCTTTTCATGAAGAGCCTGAAAACTAATCAGGAAAGGCTCAAGACAAAAACGCATTAGAATGATGTTTATTGAGCATGAATAGGCCATTGACACATGAAATGATCAATAAGGTTTGGCGACTAGTATAAGTATTGCTTGACATAAATAGGAAGGAATTCAATAGAATATAATGGGGGGCTAGACACTGGTGGTGGTGGAAGCTGAGCAGACATCATTCTCTACTGAAGAGGTGGTAGGTTGCAGCACGAACAGAAGCTGGATGCAGAGATTGAAAAGGTTCTGTTTAAATGCATCCATGGAGTGAGGCAGAATGAGCTCAGGCGCAGGTGTGTAGCAGAGGGGGTGCTCAGTAGGCAGCCATGTGATAGTCCAGTCTGCACAATACTACAAATTGACACACTTTGGTGGTTTAATTACCATAGTTTGAATAGCTAGGTATATGATGCTCCATTCTTACATTTGGATTATCACTTGACACTGATGTTACCATGTTGCATTTTGATTTTCACTGGGAAATTGGTGGAGCATTGTAGAAATTGGCACGGCAAGATATTTTGTATAGCACAGTTAATACACAAGGCAACTCAAAGTGGCCAACAAAATAATATTTAAAACAAGGCATTAAAATCATAAAGAACAGCAGACTTCAAACAATTAAGTGCTGATAAGGTTCAATTAAAACGTTTATTTCAATTTCTGAACATCTTTTGAGACAACACAATAAAATGGGCCTGTATTGGCGAAGTAGAAATGTGAATGTGAATGTATATGATGTCTCTCTGCAGCCTTATGTCAGGGCTCTCCGCCATGGACACCAGAGCCAGCGGCCGCCTGGGAGTCCTGACCATCACGTATTACCTGTGGACCACGTTTATCGCGGTGATTGTGGGGATTGTTCTGGTGCTCATCATTCACCCCGGGACAGGATCAGAAAAGGATCACCACCACTCACACTCCGGGCCCGTCATGACCTCCGCCGATGCACTGCTTGATCTCATCAGGTGAAAATGGTCTAAAAGAACACTGGAATTCATTTTGGGGTTTTTTATGGAAAAAAATGGTTCTCAAATTGTTGCAGACCTAAGAGTAGGAGGACATCTTTTGGGAACTTGAGGAGAAAATAACTACTTAATTATTTAAAGCAAAGGAAGGATTCGACTAATCCCTGTTCGACTGTGAGCTTACACAAACTTACTTAATTAATTGTACTTTATGTATTTAAGTGAACATACAATTTATATTGTATACCCTTTATTATTATGACATATATCCTTTCCACAGCATAGAGATGATGGGGCAACTGGTGGCGCCCTGGTAGGCGCACGGGCTTTGGAGAACATAACCTCAACGTTTGCATGTTCTCGCTGTGTCTTGGACTGAGTAGGTTTCTTCTACCGTTAAATATGCATAGGATTGTCACGTTTCCAAAAAAGAAAAAAAAGAAAGATGAACCCAAAACACAATGCTTCAAAAATATAATTGAATAAACATTAATCCAAAACACAGGGGAAAAATATACGTTGGGAACAAACACACAATGGACTGACAAGAGGGAAAGAGCACAGGGTGTTTAACTGGGAGACACAGTGGAACACATCAGGGCGGGGTAACAGAACAGGAATCAGCAGAACAGGAAGTAAATCTCAAAAAGATGCAGGAAAAAAGATAATACCAAAGAGTACAGAAGTACCAGTGTTGTATATAATAGTATTGATAACACTAAATAAAACAGGAACTAAAAATAAATCCATGACAATGATGGCTCCTCCCCACAGAGGACAACCTTTTCCCAGTACTCAGGGCATGAATGAATTTGTAAAGGTAAAAGATCATGGTGTTTCTTAAGGGGGATCTTCTTTTTAAGACCCTTAATCTTCCATGAAAGCCCTGTAGCAACCACTTAAACTAAGAAAGGCCCGGGGGGTAAGACCAATAAGCTTGTTATCAGATATAAATGGGGGTTCTACGAACTAGACAAAAGGTTCAACGTTCAATTTTATTATTCAACTTAATAGTCCCAACAGGGAAATTTGTCTCAGATCACAGGGCTGTTGGACACAAACATACAAGACACAACATCAGGACCATGGTCTACACAATTACAACACAAGAATATATAGTATTGCACAGTCCAATCGGTGCAAGGATACAAAATGATACACTAGTAAAAGACCGCAGATAAAAACAGTATTACACAATAAGCAAAAAGTTACATCCAATGAAAAAAAATGCCAGTGAGGTGCGGATTAAGAAGTACATTTCACTTGCCCCAACAAAGTGCTTGTGCAGTTGGAAACACTAACAGTATTGCACAAGCCCAGAAAAGGAGCTACATGAGAGCTGAAGAGCATTGCACTCGAACCGAAGACTATTTAACTTACCTGCTTTTATTGAGCAGAGTGAAAGTTTAGAATAGTGCATTCTATTCTACTGTTGTACACCAATACTTTCACTGTACTATTCCAATACTGTCTAAAAAGTACACTAAAATATAATAAGTATCAATACTATAATAAATGCATATTCTGATATAAAGCCATCAGCAGTGTCTCCTACCGTTCCCTGCTGCTGATTCAGATGCAGCGTCACTGTTACAGCATCAGTTAATTATAGCTCTCTGATCTGTTAATCTGAGTGTGGCGCTTACAGCAGAGCAGTGTGGTCACTGATGGCTCAGGGTCAGCAGATAACCTTCTATCCTGGGATCCTAAACCTGATTATTTCTGAAGCACACGGCTGTGACTGATGTTTGTGTTCACACTGGCCGTACATTTGTCTTGCCTGGATTACGGTGGTGATTTCAGGGCCCTTTGACGTAAGATGTAAAAATAACAGTCAATGCCCACGTCTTACGCACTTCTACTTATCTCTGCAGAGAACACTTTAGATAATTTACCCTCAACAGCATTGCATTGTAAATCTTGCATTCATTTATACATTTCTATTTGTTGCATTGTACCTTCAGTAACATGCATTCATATACTTGTCCAAACCTGACCTACTTTTAAATCAAATGTAATCAAATTGAAATATTATCATATATTTATTTTATCTTATATAATAATAATAATAATGACCCTGTATTGCAATGCATAATACAAACGTAAATTGTATTGCCTCAAAATAGATCTTGTTCTACGACCATACTATCAAGCTGTTTTCATTTCAAATGTTAACACACTTTTTTTCTTTTGCAGAAATATGATTCCATCAAATCTTGTAGAAGCCACTTTTCAACAGGTAAGTCACGTTTGCATTATGTCAGGCTGGTCATGTGTAATTATTTATAAACAAAATCAAAACATGATTTGTCCTAATTGCATAAAGCATTTAGTATTTAGATTATACATATTTGCTCCTAGATTTTTTTTATAAATGTATAAATAAATATAAAATAAAATAAATGACAATAATTTACAAGTGTTATTATTTTTTAGTTACAATTTAACGTTTCATATCATTTTTATATTTTTCTGTTCTCCAGTACCGAACGGACCTTCTGCCGATTGTGCAAAACAGCAACGCGGAAAACTCCCAGGCCAACTTTGTGTATGTGATGCCGGACTACCACAACCCTCAGCTGGGGCACCCTGTGTTCCTGGAGATCACTCCTGCTCCAGACGTCAAATACAAGATGGTCCCCAGCACCAGCAAAGGCATGAACGTGCTCGGCATCGTCATCTTCTCTGCCACCATGGGTACGGCAATAGTGAGCAATCAATATAGAGTGGAGTAGAGTTTGGGAATAAAATTATTGGTCTGTAATTTAGACAGCAATTTTAACTGTTAGCTCATAGCTTACATTGTCCAGGTGAAGCACAAGTCACATTGGGGCAATACTTTGCATAATTACAGAATAACCGCTGTGAAACAAGAGTGAAGATGTTATAGTTTGGGCTTTTTGCTTGAGTCTAGATTCAGTAAAGCCAACCACAAATCCTTCTCCTTGTATCTTTTGATGTAATCCATAGAGGTGTGTGTGTATATATTTGTAAAAAAAATTGTCTTTTTAACTATAAAATCAGAAAATCACTAAAGAGTTAAGTTATTTCTGTAATTCAACTTCAAATCAAACTCAAGAGTTTCTTGCTGTGAAGCACCAGTGCTAACCACTAACAATGTATCCATCACCACTCTGTCCATGATTAAATCATTTACCAGTTGCTTGGTGCATGGAGTGTCTGGAAGTGGCTGCAATGTTCCACAAAACTGTTCCCAGTTTACAGCCACAAACATAAACAAAATAATGTTTATTCAGGAATGCACCCACTTAAAAACTGCTTCGATATGTGAAACATATGTGAAATCTCCATCTTAGAAATATAAATTGCAATAGTAAAACTAAACAAAAAACAGATATAATTTAAAATGTATGAATTGTCCATAAAAATCTCTATCACCAGATAATATAAGCAGCTGTTTCAGGAGAAAAGCAAAGGTATTTGTTGTTTCCTCAGGTCTGCTCTTGGGTAAAATGGGAGAACGTGGAGCTCCACTGGTGAACGTGTGCCAGTGCGTCAACGAGTGTGTCATGAAGATTATTACAGCAGCCATGTGGTAAGGAATGCAAGAAAACATAACTAAATAAATACACCACAGGTTTGTCTTATCGGCAGGTTGTATAGAGTCATCGTTTTACAACCAAAAATAAACTTGATATACATATTAAACAGAATGCTGCCTAAATTTGAATAAATATAAAAAGTATTGTTTTTTACTCATACAATTATCAGAGGGATTTTGCTCAACCAGTTGATTTTTTCCTGGTTGTGTTTGTTTGTCATATATTAAAGGTGATGTTTGCAACTTCAATTGTATACATTTTTTTAGGCTGTCAAAAAATGCTTACGTTTGACCATAGTAGACTGTAGTATTATGTAAAGTATTTTTCCAAAACAATCTACTAATACAGTCTCTCCTTGACATTACCACCCCCAATGAGATTTGCTGGAGGAGAATAATTAGATCAATGACAAGCGGCCTCCTTTGCGTAACAAGGATTTAAAAACCGCAACAAATCCATTCAATCAGGAAGCAGCAGTGGTGAGAATGTGTGGGTCTGACTAGTCCTAAAAAATAAATAAAAAAGTAACCACAATTAACTTTAACAGAATTATTTTATGATGATAGACTGCCACAATCACACACAATAGTTCAAACTATATCAGTAATGTGTTGTATCTTCAGAGCTTGTAATGTTCACTCTTTGAAGAAAGTCATGTTTTTTTTTTACATGTAGGCGCACTCATAACACAAATACATTGCTTTTGTGTTTTTAATTTGTTTGAGCCCCTACTATTTTATTTTTATTTTTTTAGATATAGGCCTTTACCTAATGTTAAAACTGCCTAAAACCTACAGTGACATATCACCCAAAGGTAGATTTCAGTTCCAAGCTTCAAGTGGATATAGTAAAACAAACTAACTACATACACACACACGCACGCAATGTGATCTACCAAATAGTTGAAATGTAGTATGACATAAAAGGATTTTCTTGATGGAGCTGAAGCTGGCAGAATGATGACTGCTTATTTTAAGCTAATAAACTCTATATATTATAATATATCATGTTATGAATTCCAGCTTCTGAGCTTTAAAATGAGATGTAACATAACAGAGACCAAAAGTATGTGTTTTTTTCCCCCCACCCTTATTAAGCCACTTTCAATCATTGTCTTTGCGTCTTTTCTGTATAATTCACCCGACTCGCCTGTGGTAGGAGTGTCATCCACACTCACTCAGTCTGTTCTTTGTAGAAAAAAAAAAAAAAAAAAACAATCTTTAGAGTGAATCATTACAGTCATTGGGCTTTTCTAAAATATGTTACAATAAGACTGAGCTCACATGTGGTCCTCCGTGATTTGGTCCAGGTCTCACGGAGATCCAGCTGTTTTAAGTGCAGGTGCAGGTTGCCAAGAATTGAGCTCTGTGTCTCTAATCCCCTAGATAAAAGTAAGTTGGAAAAGAAATGGACGTTGCCAGGGTTTACTCCTCACAACTACGTCAGCGCGGCTCTTCTGGCAAATCCCAGGAGAAAGAACAGGCGGTGCTTATCTCTGAATGTAATGGTTCTGTGTTTCAATAGTTCCTTTAAAGTAATGCAACTTTGATAACTGTGATCCATGGGGTTATTTATTGCGATGTCAATGCCCTGTGTGACCTTTTGGGTACATACTGAACTTCCATTTCTCATATTCTAAAAGGCTCTATCACAATAAAATTCAGAAAAGCACTTGTAGAGCACAGACTTCTACCAAGAGGAGCCGTTCAGTTCCATCGCTCCTGCCTTCATTGAATCTTTGGCCATTGCGCACGTTTTTCTGAAAATGTTGTCCAAATCCAAATCGTCCCATGACTTTTTTGAGTGATGTTGCTCAGAGACATTTGATTATAACATTTAGAGTTGCTTCTACAGTATACTGTATGTGTAGAAGGGATGCATCTCTTTTTGCATGACTGTCGGTACAAGGGTAAAAATACAAACAATTCAATGTCCATTCCTAAGCCATGATTCCATTCGTCTCCAGGTATTTCCCGTTTGGCATCGTGTTCCTGGTGGCGGGCAAGATCCTGGACATGCACGACCCGGCCCACCTGGGAGAGAAGCTGGGCATGTACTTCATCACGGTGCTGGCGGGACTCTTTGTGCACGGACTCATTCTCCTGCCCATGTTCTTCTTCTTCTTCACCCGGAAAAACCCCTTCGTCTTCATCCGCGGCCTTCTACAGGCGCTGGTTATCGCCTTGGCAACGTCATCCAGGTAATGAGAGACAATGAGTTTGGTTCAGGTTCAGGGCAAGGGCAAAAGTGAGCCGGGTACTCTGTGCTGCTTCCACTCAGTTGAAATTACCAAAACTGCAAAAAATGATTTAATATGAGATAATAATAGCTTGAATCGAATGTTTTTTTAATGTTAATTTGAGTACAAACAAGATTTGCCAATAGGGCAAAGCCATTTAGTCTTATTTGAAGAACTGTTGCTTTATTTTCTAATGTCAAGGGCAATATTACTTGTATTTTTATATTTACCATTGGTAAATATTGTTTTAAGGCAGTCAAAATGTGCTCAAAAATACATTTGGCCAAATTTGAGCAAATTTTGACTTATTTTCTTTACTTTTTGCACGGTGATGTTTAAAATTTAGTGTTTCTAATTCAATGGACCACGGTCAGACATCAGAATAAAACCATGACCATCATCCCTTTCTGCCCTTAGCTCGGCCACGCTGCCAATCACCATGAAGTGTCTGTTGGAGAACTGCGGTGTGGACCGGCAGATTGCGCGGTTTGTTTTGCCGGTTGGAGCCACAATCAACATGGATGGAACCGCTTTGTATGAGGCCGTGGCGGCCATTTTTATCGCTCAAGTCAACGAATATGACCTGGACTTCGGACAGCTGGTGACTATAAGGTAAGAAATGTGTTTAAATACTATAATGAGACAATTCACTTTCTGGTTTCATGATTAGTGTGTGAAATGTTATCTTTTGTAGAAAATACTGTATCTGGTGAAGTATGAAGGGTAGACATTGCCTGCGACTGCTCTAGTGACACGATACTCCTACATGGTGTTAATTTTTATTCTAAATACAGAACATTTTGAAGTGAAAGCAAAATGATACATTTGTTTTTCAACCGCCTTTTACTCCAAAAATAGCAGCACATCTAGAGACTGAAAGTTTTGTCCATTCATCTTTACAAAACAGCTCAAGCTCTGTCCGATTAGCTAGCAAGCATTTGAAAAAATGTTTTTTTTATTGTATAAATCTGGCTGTTGAAGGCGTGTATTGATTATGTCTATGTATCTCAGTATTACAGCCACAGCAGCCAGTATCGGAGCAGCTGGGATCCCTCAGGCCGGACTTGTTACCATGGTGATAGTCCTGACTTCTGTGGGTCTTCCTCCGGCTGACATCTCGCTCATCGTGGCCATCGATTGGGTTCTGTAAGTACTGTTTTCATGTCTCACAGTCACAACCTGTTTTTGTTTTTTTCTTAATACTTAATAAACAAAATGCAAAACAAATAGCAAAGGTCAAAACCATTCATATATAAATACACTCTGGTATTTACAACATTCATGAATACTGTGTGTCATTCATCATGCGTCTTCACTGGTTTCATTTACAAACGTATTCGACATTCTATCTGTGCCTTTTCAACCTGAGATAATGTCAGTTTTTTCTCATAATTGAAATATTTTCCACAAATCAGATCCAGAACATTCCTTGAACACGTCACATAGCAGCACATTGTTTTTCAAAGTCTCATCTCTTGTGTGTTGGAATGTGTTTTTAGTTTTTTTTTTTTACTCATATTCCATGGAAAAGGATTTAGTGTTTCATATTTATGAAATATACACCTCCTCCTGAAAGTTCAGATAAGGGACGGAGTTGGGAAACTTTACGATTGCAATATAAAACTAGTCTTGTCTTGCTAATCTAAGAGAAAACAGATTGTCTTATTTGCATATTCTTGGTCATTGGCAGGGATCGTTTCCGAACCATGGTGAACGTGTTGGGAGATGCCCTGGCTGCTGGGATCATGGCTCATATTTGTAAGAAGGACTTTGAGCGAGCGGCTTCAGCTGCCTCCACCTCTGCCCAGAGTCACAGACGAGGCTCCAAACGGGTAAATGCAGCACATTAAAGAGCAAGAGCTTCAAGCGCTGTTATCAACCACCCAAATGAGGTGGAAAAGGGACAATAGAAAATTTTTGTGACTGTAAACATTTATTGGGAATCACAAATTTCACAAAAGAACAAATTTCAAATATGTATTTGGAATTTAAGAATAATAATAACAATGATTGGAAATTATATTTAGTGTTAGTGGAATGAGGAATCTTAGATTAGATTTTGAGATTCTATTTTCGTCTTGGCAGGAAACTAATCCTGAAATGTATCATTTTCACTTATTTTCAAGTTGTGAAGAAACACAGATTCATCCCCACAGCTTCCTGATTGGACACAATTATTTAAAACTCTTGTCATTGGTCTAACTATTCTTCTCCAGAAAATATTTTTGTTGGCAATTTAATACAATTTATACGGAAATCCACTTCAAAATGACTTAAGAACACAAAGAAAATAATAACATAGAAGAGTAAGAGGAATCATGTTTTTAAAAAATCTTAGATGAAACTTTCAGTTTTATGATCTTGACCAGAAAAGGGGTTGCGGCCAATGTTGTGCCCATAGATAGTATGTTGTGCCATCATAAAACACGTTTAGTCCCTCTGGTGGCCGTTTTGGGAATTATACAGATATTTTCTATTGAATGAAAAGCCAATAAAACAGCAACTGAATATGAGTACATATTTTGCTTTTTCCCCCAGAGAGACACTGTGATTTCGGTGGGGACCCAGAGCGTGGCGCAGTCGGACGCTCCTCTACTGCCTCATAAATGTGATTATGTTTATGATGTGGAGGGAGACTGTGTGGTGGAGCGACCTGTGCCCTGTTACAGCCTCTGCCACGTCTGAACAGGGAGGACAAAACTGCAAGGACAAATTGCCATTGAGAAGTTCACTGGGAAACCTGCTCCACAGTGACTTTGGACACTATGGGCAGAGTGGACAGACTTGCTTTGACTAATAACAAAGCATTCTGGGATGGATGACAAGACACAAGTAAAAGAATGCTTTAAAGGCAAAAAAAAACAACTGTATGATGGAACAGCAATGACCCAACAGCGGACCACCACCGTATGCCTATTTTTCTAACCCGGGATGGATTAGCAGAAATATGAGGTTGTCAAGAAATGAAGACAAGGCAGCGGCGATTGCACCTGTACATGGTTTATTTTCGAGTCCCTCCAGATCGAACAAGAGGAGACAAGGCTTTTTCTATTATTTATCTCAATGTGCATGAGAACAGATGTCATCACTTGAGATATAGATGACTCATACTTAAGTAGATATTGTAATAATACAGATATAACATGGGTTAACAGTACAGATTATGTAGGTTCGGTTCCACAAGGCCTATGTCACACCTGGATTTAGATTTTTCATGTGTTGGTCAGTAATCTGCACTGTCCTGGCATTTGTTCACTCTCTTCTTTGAATTAGATAAAACATAAAGATGAGCGACTCTAAATTAGTCATTGTATAAAATGATTGTATTTAGTTTTTATAACACTGCTCTGTATTTGAGAGAACTTGGCCTGTCTCCCTTTTCGGTGAACTGCACGACCATTTTGGCCTTAGTCCCCAGACCCACTATAAAACTAGAATTTATCATGTATGTCGCTATAGGTCCAATGGATTTGTATGAAATTTGACATAAAGGAAAGTATGTCCCAGGTCTTTTGAGGTCCGTTAATAATATCGATGAACCAGAGTTGTCATGACCTTCACATGTTCTGGGACTGTCTGATAACTATTTTTGCTTTCATAATTTACCCTTTATATGTATGTAATTGTGTTGTTTTCTTTATCGTTTAGGAAAGGGAGTCATGACAGAACTGCTGTGTATTGTATGCAGTTAATGTGACTTCTTGCTGCCTTAAAATGTACTTGAACGAGTAACGTATACAAAGTAACAAAATGTATTGAATGTGTGCGTCTTAAAATGTGGAACACGTCTGGGATCATTATTTACAACTGCTAAAATGTCCTATTGAAGACCAAATCGTCCTTTCGACCTGATTTGGTTCGTGGTATTCAGAGGGCCCAATCTTTTTCTTAAAAGAGAACAGCGTGTAAAAAGTTTGAGAACTACTTTTTTTTTTACGTGTGATCTGAAATAAAGTAAATCTTCTAACCAAATGTATTTTTTGTTCAAATTTAAATATGAACCATTGATAGAAAAAGGGTCATATGGAGCCATTACTTTACTACATTATGAATATTTTAACCAAAAGTGCAAGTTCGTTTAACTTAGTAGGGTTACTTTTCTTAACTTAAAACCAATTGAGTCTTTCATACTCAAGATGTATAGGCATATAATAATATATACATGTTGCTTGACCCTTGAGTCTTTTAAAATCAGACCACAACATATCTCCATCTTATTAGAAAATGTGTTATCTTACATATGTACACTCTAACACATATATTAATTGATAAAGTGATGTTATTCTTTTGTGTGTGTGTGTGGTTTGAAAATTACATACCCCAGCTTTAATCGATTTGACTAAGCATTGAAGCATCTGTAATTGTTTCGTTGTTCTCTAAAGCCCTGGCAGCTGCTCTGAAACAGCTCATCGGTGTGCACACATTTCTAGTTTGACATTTTTAAAAGTCATAATTACTCAACAAAGAGCAGACCCTGAGGCAGTGACCACAGTTTCACACAGAATATGCTCCAACATGTCCCACAGCCACAGGCTTGCATATCTCCACACCACTGCCCTCTAGTGGCCATTTTCTCACTCACATTTCTACGTGAACAAAAGATAGTTCTATATTAATTTGCCCTTTGTGTATAGTGGGTCAACCAAAGCGTCAATATAAGCAAGGTTGCTCTGCTGTGAAAAAGTAATGTTTAAGACTCGTGTCATGTGTATTTCTTTAAACTTCAAAACAAAATTGATTGATCCGCAAGCGAAATTATACACCGAAGCTTGAAAAAGTAGTAAAATTGTGAAGCGTTAAAATACGTTAAAATAGATGGAATATAGATATTTATTTAATGGTATGTACTTAGATTGAAAACAAACCACAATTAAAATGTGTATATAATTATAATTATAATACATGTTTATTTGTATAGCACAAAAACAGTGTTTACAAAGTGCTGCACCGTCAGCATAAAGCAATAAAAACATAACAGTCCTCATAGAATAACATACCAAAAATAGATACAGGAGATGAAAGCAGACGGACAACAAGAAAGACAAAACTAAACAATGTGGAACATTGAAATACATGTACATATGATTTTTTTCATAGTTTTATCCCTATTTACTAAACAATGAAAGTGCCCCTTTCATTTCATGGTCAAAACCACAGAAATACTAAACAGCAGATTTTCTTCATACGATTGTAAACCCTTGGATAATATTTTTTTCATAATAACACAGGAAAACAGAGACGTTCGAGGAGTTGGGGGTAGGAGAAAACCGGCTGCTTTACATGGAATTCTTGGTTAAAGATGGACGACTAGATACTCAAAAATGCATCAACCCAACAACTATGCCTCACAGCAAGAAGACCAAGGCCTTTCTGTGCAGATTTTGCATGTTTATTCCTGTGTCTGGGTGGGTTTCCTCCAGGTGCTCCGGTATACCCCATTGCATTTTTTACTTTTTTGTGCATGAATCAGGCCAATGCAGCCGAATCTAGCTGGGGCCATAATAGCTGGATAGCTAAACCATGGATCTTCGTTTTCCACTTGCAGATGCCATTAAAGTGGTTCTCACCCCCGCTCCTCGGAGCTTACGTTACTCACATTTCCTGTTCAAATCTTCCTCTAAATGGGCGTAGCCTGGAGGACTAAAGGGGGCGTGAACGAGACTGGAAATTCACCAACACTAACACTCATTAGCCAACATAGTGAAGAAATATTGATGCATCATTTATAATGTAGAATGTTAGCGCCTATCCACTACACTCTATGCTATCCACTAAAAGCTGTCAAACCACGGAGGCGCGTTGAAACTGCGAATAATAACGGATGTTGTGACGCCTGGCTTCGCCGTTGAAACTTATAGTCACGTTTCCACCACAGGAGTAACTGGTAAAAGGAGGGGGGTGGGACTACAACAGAAACCGTGCTCTCAGTGGCTGTGTCTCCACTGCGGAGTAGGATCCGTCTGCGGCGTCATGAGTTTTTTAAAGTCCTGCTTCTTAACTTTTCACGGCATTGTTTCTGAGTGTGATGGATTCCCAGTGCATCGAGGTTTGCTAACCCGCTGATGTGTTGTATCTTTTCATTTCGCCACGATGCCTTTCTTTGGTGGTATAGAAAGAAATTTCCTGCACCTCATCATCCGTCCATTTATCGTACATCTTGCTGTTGTTGTTTGCTGTTTCCAGTGATGCCTGCAATGCTAATGATGCTGGATTTTAATAATACTGGTTGTTTTGGTGCTTTCTGGAGTCAGAGCCTGCTCTAGCTTTAGCCAATCAGACCCGGTGTAACAGGCCGTTTTAAACCCCCTGGCCGGTTTACACCCTGGGGTTAAAATAGCCTAGGCCAGTTTATACCCCGGGGTGTATTCTGGCCTAGGCTTTTTTAACCCCGGGGTGTAATCTGGCCTAGGCTACTTTAACCCCGGGTGTATTCTGGCGGGGGGTTAAACTGGCCTGCTACACCGGGTTAACCTCAGTCCCCCCCCAGGAGCTGTTCAGATTACGTGCATGTGCTCATGGACCTTTTTGAGCTGGGACCTGCCCCCACTGGTCGAAACCATAGACTGTATATATTAACGAACAGAGTCACGCCTATCTCCGCCGTTCTAACTAATGGGCCAAAAAATGTGCTCTACTGGAGCTATCCAAAATGGCCACGAGTGGTCCCGCCCACAAGAAAATTGTGAAAAAATTCCTGCGCATGTGTCAGCCGGCGCAGCTCCATTCATTTGAACGAGAGACTTCAAAAATTCCCCGCGAGTAAACTAGAGTGGACCAAAAAAATTCACCCCCCTCAGCATTGACACACGTGGAACGGAGCTTTGGGCCAAGAGCCAACTTTTGGTCCATCCTGTAAAGATGTTTTTGAGAGGTCTGCCAATGCTATATGTTAGCATTGGCTAATTCTTCTTCTGGGTCCACCCCCATCGGCCCGGGGTGGTACTGCAAGCATGTCAGCGCACGTCATTTTGGCCACTTTTGAGCCGGAACCGCCCCCACTGGTTGAAACGCTCAAAACCCATCCATCCATCCATGGACAACGAAATGAAAAGAATAACAAGATTTACGGGCTGTAAATCTAAATTTGAAATTTGCAAACCCTGACTGAACTACCGTTATAAATTAAAGAAGTATTCGAAAAGACCATGATGAATTAATGCCTTTTGACATATTAGAGCCATTAAATTATGTCTTGACACGCAATTCTTACATATATGTCCTTCAATATAAATTTGTAGTCCCACTTTTTGCGGTTTGAAAGTTATGTACCCCAGCTTTAATGAGCAAGGCTACGATAAGTGAATGTCAAAAAGCTACATAAGGCTTCATGATAATCCACTTTAAATAACAAACATATGCACTATTCTGCTCATGTTGTAGCGTTCAACATTGTAAAAGTCTTACCTATGAGCCTATTACATCATGTCATCTCTATGCTGGTGTATTCAGTCAGTTTTCCTGTGGGGAACACCCTCACTCACTCACTGGCTCTAACCTCTTTGGCAGCTGGGTCGTGCATTGTGCTGGTCTAGCATTTTCTTTTGTATTATTCATGAGACAATCGCCAGCTGTAAGAATTTAGGGGGATTCCATAACTTTATTTAAGGGACTTTTTTGGGGAGGGAATTTGTCTGGGGAGGTGTAGGAGTGAAGTGATGAGGGACTATCTAATGTTAATATTCCTG